ATTAAGAAATAATTATTTGTTAATTCATGAAAGCCACATGAAAATACAAATAATAAATATTATGTATGCATCATAGGTAGAAAATAGCATTAAAGACCCCACAGGTTACAAATTACCAACTCCTATTGATTCTGGAAATTGTGTCTGTGTCTGAAAATTGTGTTGTCTAATGTAACTACATGGTAATAACGCCATATTATTTGGACTCTTTACCAACTTTCTGTGGTTAAAGTAAGACAAATTCTTCTTATGGGGGCCAAACCCGTACGTGGATTTAATTAACTCCCAGTCATTTAAATTGCTTATATGGCTCCGCTGACACAGAGTTATCAATGAATTTTTTCATCACAATTTCTGCTTCTTCTTGATCTGCATTTGGTTCTGGACAGTAACAGATGTCAGAAACTTTAACGCACTTAATATTGACAAAATGACGAGATGGGTGTATCTGTAACATATTCCGTTTATGAATCTTCTGATTCTGAAGAGTAGGAGAGCTATTTCTACTTTCCTCCAAGGTCTTTTTATTATGAATCTACACATGCTTTGCTGTAGTAGAAAAGTAAATTTCTACTAGTGTATGTGTAGGGTTATTCTTTAATCTGCCACAAAAAGAGCTGGTTGAGTTACACAGGCTCAAATGGAACTGAGTACTCATGGTATTGTGCTGAAAAAAGGTGCACAATATCCCTTACACTTTTTTTTTTACATTTATACCTTCCACATCTTTGTGTTACATCAGATTGGATTGCATAATTATGAGGGCTATGGATGAGGTATCCACTCAGCCTTTCTCTTGTACCTTCTTTGATTTTAGACAATGCTTTTGTCAGTAGAAATCTGGTGAAAGGCATCATTGACTTAATCGGAAGTGGTGTCTTTTGGCCTGTCCTGGACTCAGAACCATTTCCACCTGATGTGTCCTATAACTTCGTCCCAGAGGTGCAGTTTGGATGCACACAAGGGTATCGACCACTTCTGGGTGTCAGAGGATGTGGTATGTTCCTAAGATCCTGTTTCCTACTTTGTGATATAGTAATTGCCAATCACGTTAACACTTCTCAGAGCCTAAATGAAACATGTGACAGATATGAAAAGTTTTCATAATTATTACAGTTTAGTGTTAAGATTACTGTGAAGATGTAATAAAACTAGACAGTTAACTTGTATCTGGGGAGAAGTAGGACTTTTCAAATGTATTTTATGAATAGCTTTGGTTAAAACATCAAAATAACTTCCCTAATCTTAGCTGTACTGTAAGTGCATAAGTGTAAAATGTCTTGTAACACATATACAATATGCATATATACTGTATATAAACACACATGTAATTTCTGTGTGCTCTAAAAATAGTTTGTTTAAACTGCAATGAGAATTGTGTTGGAAAATTACAAGGTGAAATTAATAACTCAGTTAATGAAGTACTTTGATTCTGAAATATTCTTTCACCTGTACAAGAAATAGAAAAAACATAGGTTTCATTTATATGTTCAGTTTTTTAAAAGCAAAATACTTCAATTAAATATGCAGTAGAGACATCTTCTTTCCTCACAGTTTATCTTTGCAGTTTTGATTTGGAAGTACATCTGGAAAACAGTTGCTCCATTAAATTTAAGAGGCTGATTTTTTTTCTGTCCAAAGTATTTCAATACATCATCTTTATCCTATACTTATAGCTATCTAGAATTATGAACTGTCTGGTGAGGATGACTTTCAGCTAGCAAATCATGATTGTTCGCGTAGATTTAAAACAAATTGAGCTCTCTGACAATTATTAAGGTGGAAAAACTCTTCTATATAGTTTCTTTTTATTTTGTCACTTAATATGAAAGGAATCTGGAAGTAATTATTTTTCCATTTACAACTTTACTCACATTGTATCGGTTTGCATCTGTAGGACAGTGATAATCTTTACAAAGAGGTAGTTAACGTAAAAAAAAACTGAGCAAAGTGTTTCAAAGGAGCACCAAGAGTCAGAGCAACACTGCTCACTCAACAACAATGGTGGATTCAAAGCTGTAGATTCAGAAAAAAGGGGTTATAGCATTTAAAGCACTATTAATATATCCAACCAGCGAGTCCTGTATGTAGCCTGCGATAGGAGGAACTTTTGAAGCTGATAATGGAAACAGAAGACTTTGCAGATAGCCACCTTTACTCACTGAAAGGCACTTTGTGGTGTCAAACAAGCCTCGTGATAAGGAAGACAAAGTGTAAAACTATTTTTGCTGAAGGATCTCCGAATGCGTGCTTTCACACTAATTTCTTTTTTTTAAGTATTCATATATGTGCTATATATGGTTTAGAGTACTAAGCTTCTAAGTTTGCACAGCAGTGGGTTTTATTGAACATTTGCACACATTCAGAATGTTGGGCCATTTTGGCCAGACACCTCTTCACAGGGGTTAGTAACCAAACATGATATTTCCAATGTAGTCCCCATTGTAAGGACATTAAAACTTTTACAGAACCATCATTTCTTTAGTTCTCCTTGTTAGTCAGTCAGTTCTACCAGCCATTTGTTTTATTGAACCAAATTATTTTGGAAACATTTGGAAATGCTGTCCCTGCTGTCTTGAAGAAAGAGTGGCACACGGGCTGGGGCCAAATCCTAGACATCTGCGAATGATTTCCTCTCACCACACTTCCACAACATCTCCTTTCATTTTTCGTTGGCAGCTATTTGCCCAACCGGCACTTTTGCCAGCGATGCTGTTTGCACTCCTTGCCCACATGGGTCCTATCAGGACCAGGAAGGAAGTCATTTCTGCAAGCAATGTCCCCAGGGCTGGTCTACAGGCTCCACAGGAGCTTTCAAAGCCACACACTGTAAGTAATAAAAAAGACAACAGTCTTTGATCACCTGCTGCTTACTGGAACATTTTCCTTGTACCCTGTGTTTAAAAGAGATTTAATTTGCTTAAGGGTACAGTTGTTTTATAATATAGAGTTCTGTATGTGTGAGGATAGTTCTTTGTGGTTCGAAAGGTCTTGCCTTTTAATTTTTTAAAATTAATTTACAGTATTGTGAACATCAGAACTTAATGATGTTTTGTTTTGAACAATTTGAAGTCCTCACCAAACTGAAATCTGAAGCAACGGTAACTCAGCCTGCCGAATTATGTCAAATGAAGTTTTTAACAGATTGGTGAGGTGTACCAATTCCCTCACTATCCACTTCTTTCTTATTTAAAGTGCCTTTAGTGTGTAAAACAGGCATAAAGAACACTATGTGTTTTTCTGTTTGGGAAACTGACTGTTTCTTCCGTGTGTTTTGCAGGCCTTACAGATTGTCAGAACAACCCCCTTGGCTTGGAGTGCACTGAAGAAGGAGCATACAGAGAAGCCCAGAGAGATGCTGCATCTGAAAAGTGGTTCTGTGTCACTGACCGTGGGGAGAAGCTGAACTGGACAGTAACTATGGAAACCCTTACAGTGTCTCAGTGCAAAGGTATAAATAGAATCATATTATAACTCTAGACTTGAAATGACCTGCAATAGAAACACACACAGCTGTTTGCTGCAATGTTTTGGGCAGACATTGATATGGTTAGTAAGAGGTATTCTTTTCTCATTTTCCAGTCAAAGCATATTTAAATCATTATCTTTAGGATTCTAAAGATTGCTTAGTATGTATTTGCCCCTACAAACGTATAGAAACATTTGGATTGTGAAATTTAAAACTTTATTTAATCGCTAAATATAATTCAATATTTATTTAAAATCTTTTTATCTGTCACATATTTGCCTACGTATTTATATTACTACGCATTTATTTCCAGTGAAATAATACTAATAATAATAATTATTGCTTACACTTATATAGCTCTTTTCTGGGCACTCCACTCAAAGCGCTTTACAGGTAATGGGGACTCCCCTTTCACCACCACCAATGTGCAGCCGTCTGAAGGACGGTGCCTTTTTACAGTATAGTGTCCCTGCCACTGTACTGGGGCATTAGGACCCACATATACCACAGGGTGAGCGCCCCCTGCTGGCCCCACTAATACCTCTTCCAGCAGCAACCTTAGTTTTTCCCAGGAGGTCTCCATCCAGGTACTGACCAGACTCACACCTTGTTAGCTTCAGTGGGTTGCCAGTTGTGATTTGCAGGGTGATATGGCTGCTGGCAAATACTACTTTATTTAGCACCTAGTTGTCACAGCTGTTTATTTCACTAGTCAGCCACAATTAGAAACTTTGGTTCACATCCTAGTTATGAAAGAAATTGGATCTAAAATATCTTAATCAAACTGAAGGAGTTCTCTGAAGATTTGTCTGCTGGTACTGTATATAAGCAAAAGAAAGATTCTTCCCTTGAAGCCTGGGCTGACACAGGCATAAACTAAAAGATCACCATTTAAAAGTAAGTGTCTTTAAATGTTAAGTTTCAGTACTAGCTTTGAGACCGACAACTATCAAACAGTTAAGTGGAAAGTGCAAAATGCAGAAAAACAAATTGTGATAAAGCCCGGTTATAGTGCAGCATAAATATGTTTCAAAGGAACAAATAAAGGTTTATTCCATGCTGAAGACAGAAGAAAAGAAACACAACGTTTCGGCTGTGGAGCCTTCGTCGCGTTTGGCAACACACCCGAAGAAGGCTCCGCAGCCAAAACGTTGTTTAGTTTCTTCTCTTTTCAGCATGGAATAAACTTTACTTGTTCCTTTGAAGCCTACGCATGCTGACGCAGATGCCTACTTGAACTACTATAAATATGTTTCTACACATGGTCTGTTGTCATGATCAGCTACAGGTTCTTTAAAAATAGAGTTAAATGTAAGGTCATTTTTAGTGCAACTAAATGGTTTATACACGTCACACAATATGGTGTTTCACCTGCTATTAGCAGATACTACAGCAGAGCAGAGTACATGCTGACCTCTTTTCCACTTCTTGAATCGGGACTTTCTAAAGATTGTATTCTGAATAGCCCAAAAGGTCAGTGTCAAATCTGGAAGGGAGACCTCCTGAATTTAAAAACTGGAGTTAAATATTGGAGTGAGAACTGAGGACATAATATTCAGCATTTTAGAGTGATTTGAGGACCTGTTCTTTTTATTGACAGTGTACATAAAAATCAGGACAACTTCATTTCACTGTTCAAAGTTTTGTTTAATGGTCACATTACCATCAAGGCACATTAAATAAAATACTGTCTAAACTTAAATTAATAAAATAAAGTGTTTGTTTGATTTATTTTAAGGCTGAATGATGATACATAAATTCAAATCCTGATTGATTTTAAAAGGATCTTAAATTAACATTTTCCTTGCTGACCACTAACTGGTCATAAGTAATACAATATACAGAGTTTCATATTTCACTCATTGTTTTTTCTTAAACATACAATATCACAATTCTTCATTTTAAATCCCTCCACTGATTGTAAATCTCCAGAGAGCACTTCTGGCACATGAAAAATTCTAGATATGTTCACCAATATACTAAATATACGATATACCAGATATTCAAAACTCCACATATCTGGCATCATTCAAATTGATGAGCATGCCTTTAATTCCATATGAGAGGTTAAGTACTCCTAAATATCTATTCTAATGCAGTAATGCAGAAATTTGAAGATGTTCCTAAGACCCAGTGGATTCTGGATTCTAACGATGCTGTCATTATGAGTTCCAAGACATCAAATGAAAGTCTGGAGAGCTATCTGAAGACATGTATTGCAGGTATGTTCATAAGTTTTAGAACTTGTCGTTTGCACCTATCACTCTGTATTTCTCTCTCTTTCAACTCTGTGACATTTGAAATGGGAGGATTCAAAAAACACAAAGAGCAGTAACTTTATTTTTATATGTATCTGCAGAATGTGCAGCTGATGAATCATGTCTTCACCTGGCAGTTTTTACTGAAGGAAGCACGGCTCATTGTGATTTATATAGTACATCCAATGCTAATATCAAATGCACCACCTCTGAAAAGGTAGTACACTGTTCGTAAAATGGTCATACACATCTCAGGAATGATCTTCCTTTAATGTTGGGCGTTCAGAAAATGCATCTTGGTGATTTCCATAGGCTTTAACTATGTGAAAGATAAGATTCTCGTGCACCCAGACTAGAAGAATTATTAGGCTCTGATCACTTTCCCCAGGAATGAAATAAAGATGTAGTCTTTGAGCAAAGAGTGCACTTTTGTATGCATTTAATCTATGATCTATTAATTTAATGGAAACAAATAGAAACCATGCAATGACGCAATGATGATAATCCCAATAATCATGTTTTTTTTGTTGCATTAGTTTTTGTTTTTAACCATATATGTTTTCAACAAATTAAATAGCAGTTATGGGTCTCACAAAATATACTGACTGAAACATTCTTGCAGCCTCTTGTTCAGGCACATATATGATACCACAGCATCAAAAGCGTATCACAAACCATTAGATGTAAGTATTAATAATGCCTGTCTTGAATTCCTTCTAATCACAGGCCACAGGATTTCTCGGAAATTCGGTTACGGATGTGTACGAGAGTCTTACCTGTTTAGTAAAGGTACAAGATGGAGGTGGCCAAGGCCTTATAGTGTTAAGAAAGAAGGGTGAGTAAATAAACAACAGTAAACTTTACAGTAAACAGTGAGGTTTCAATGAAGGTGTACATTTCCTTATGACTTACATGCTAGCACTTCATACATAACAAATTACATATCTGTAAAGGTTCTGTCAGTATGTCTTACTGTACCTTGGTCACTATGAAGAATCACATACTGTATATGGCATGGATTAGATCATCAGTTATCATTAGATTATCAGTACCAAACTAGCATTAAGATTATTTTCAGTAATAAAGAGCGAATACTGTATGTATATAACTTACACCTATGAGTTTAATAAAACCTATCCCAATTATCTCTTTGAAAGAAACACAGTGGTCATAAATACAAGATGGACTCCTTTTTGGGTTAAAAGAGATGGTTAGAAACCAGTAATTAAAAATATGAACAACACAACTGTCAATTAGTGGGTTTTTTTTACAAAATAAATTGTATTAAGCACTGCTTTATACCACTTTGTATAAGTCTCACAAAAACCCATGTGGGTGAGATCCACAGACCATTTAGCTACTAGCAGTCAAACAGGCTAGATGAACCAAAAGATCTGATGTTTTAGGTCCAGTATATCTGTTTTTCCATCTAATGGTTTAAGAATAGAATGCATGTAAAAGAATTAGAAAAGAATATTAAAGCCTGATTTTCAGCACACATGACAAAACATATTTTGGCAGGCCCAGAAGAGAAGAGTAGAGGTTCAGAAATGTAGAGGTGTTCAGAAAGAAAGAAGTTTAAATATTATTGTTTGTTGTGTCTCCTTTCTAGGCAGATTGTGAGGTAAGAAGTGATGTTAGAACTGATTTTTTAAAAATTTCATCTCAATTTAGTTGATTAAATATTACAGAGTAGTCGCTGCAGAGAAGTTAATTTTTACACGTTTTAGGAAAATAACGTAAGAAAAAGAAATGGAAAATGAAATTAAGGAAAATATAATGAAAGAAAAAACAACAGGTATAGTCACAGCTATATCAGAGTTTACCATAAAAAGGCATAGCATTTATAGTGTAATTATATATAATGGCTTAGGAGTACTATGGGTTTCAATAGCAAAGGCAGGTGTTTCCAAGAATCTGTCTTGTCTTTCCTACCTAGGATATGATGTGTTATAAATCAGATTTAAAAGGTTAATTTATCTCAGGTCAGCTGAAGTGATATTAAAATTTCTCATATGAACATGGAAGGAAATGTCTAGGGTTATTTAGGCAAATGTTTTTGCTTAAATCGCTGGATTAAAAGAAGTTTCAGCCTGATTCCCGTGCACAAAGAGAATCTCTGGGATCTGGCAATCATTTGGTTGTTTTTGGACAGCCATCTCAGATATGTGTATATTTCTTGGCTAGGATTTTAGAATCTGTCTTTTCTCTCCCTGCCAAAGGCCATGAATTCACCACAAGGTCCCAGAAAATGTTTGAGAGACAAGATTTTCACAAGGCAGGATCTGGAGTCTACCAGACTTCAGTTTTTGAAGCCAGGGGGGTGTCACTAACAGATGTGCACCATTTTTGCCAAGAAGCCTGCAACCAGGAAACCTGTTGTGATGGATTTATATTGAATCAGAACATTCTGAATGGAGGTAAGCCTTTACCTGTTGAGTTGTGATTATTATGCACTCATGTCTTGAATTGTGATTACTTAATTTTCAAGCCACCTTAATCAGTTTCACCCGCATGTGGTTCTGTCAAGACATTCCCACATTTCTTAGGCTTGACTGTACCGACATTAATGTTCAAATAACAATTCAAAATAATGAGAAAATAAGCTTTGATGCCCAAAATGAGGTTATAATGATGTCTACCGTTGAAAATAGATTAAAATATAATAAGCATTAGAGGATATCAATCACTCTTGTGAAGGATCTCATGGGATAGAAAGAAAATGATGTGGACACACCAATAAGAGGGACTTCCCCCCTGGAAAAAAAACAAACCTTCTCTCAGCTAAAGAGTTCCATAAAGTATGCTGTCTTTTAAGCTACAGTTTTTATATTTACTTCTCTCAAAACCTCAAATAGGTTTTACAAAACCCAATAAAATGCAACTCCATCAGAAATCACTTTAATAGCAATCAGATTTAAAGTCACACAAAAAGTCAAAATCACATGCATTTCTCATAAGTACCTTTGTCGTAAATGAGGATGGCGCTGTGATCTTGACAAGTGACAAAATAGAAGAATGTCAGTTTGGTTTGATGAAGCTAGAAATGCATAATATCTCTCAGACGGGATTGTTCATTTCGGTAGTGTGTAAATTATTTTAGTTTATTTGATATTCGATAGATCTTTCTTCACCATCAGTAGGAAAGGGAAATGAAAGTCACACAATTTTTGGTTTAAGTCACACAACGAATGCTTCTCTTTATCTGTGTTTCCTCCATATTTGCCACCAGAATTGACACTGTGTTTCTGTTGCAGGCACTATCATGTGTGGGCTCCTGAGCTACCCAGATGTGTTTCTCTGTCGCGATCAGGACTATGATGATGCTGCTGCTCAGACTGGTGGGAAACGTGTTTGTGGAGCAGGGGTGAAATATAATAAACTGAGGAAGCAGTTTACATTCAGCTTCGGAGGGCAGAACTTCACACTCAGTAAGCTTATGCTATTGTGTTAATCGCTGTTTAAGAACAAACAGCATGTGCATTGTTTTAGGGACCATTGGTTGCAAAAGCAATGTTGGCCACTGACTTGTCAATTCCTGCAGAAAAGATTTGTCTTAGCCTGTATGCCACCAACTTCATTTTAAGCAGACAGCCTTGAAGTTAAAGATTGGCTTCAATTTTATTTATAATGACAAATGCATGTTCCTTTACCAAATCCTTCTGCCTGATACGTTGTCAGTGAAGGAGAAGATTCCCTACAGTTTTGCATGTCTAAAAGCAGGGATAGTAGAAACCCCACATTGTTTCCCATGAATCCTGGGAATTGTGGGATAGGTCACGAGCCCTTCACATCTGTGTGTACTTTATTTCAAACTATTTGATTTGTTTTGGCATAACGGAGTGGCTTGCCCAAAAGATTATTAGTTACATGTGTGCTCTGCTTTTCAAATTGACTGAATCAATTTGAGAAAGCAAGGCATACAGTATAGTTCCTTACTAGGCTGGCCAGTAGGCTTGGTCTTGTTCTACACATGCAGGTTGTACTCATATTTGATGAGGCAATCCACATTGTCAGAAATGTTTAAAAGAAAATATGGGTCAGGATCTTTCTCACAAGTTGCCATCATTTCAGGTTCTTCATTTGTTGTGGACTACAAAAAATACAAAACTAAAGAAAGCTGAATTTGGATTTAAGGAGCTTCTGTTGTTTATTGGTTTTTTTGTTTATTGATTTTCTCTTTAGATGACATGGCCTTGCCAGCCACAAGCAAAAATAAAACAGATTACCAAGCCACCTTAATCAGCTTCCAACGAGTTTACCTCTGGAAGGGTAAAAACATTTACTTTTTAAATAATGCCGTGTTCGGAAGTGTGTTAAGTGTACAGAAATCCCAAATTGAACTTCTTTTTTGCACACTTGTAATGAAGAGTAGCATGGTGTAAAGCAACTGATTAAAATTCTCATCCCGAAAGTCATTAAGATAATATTGCAGAAATTGCTTGAAATATAAAAGTGTCATTCATAGGGGATATCTGCTCAATCTATAAATTGTGTTCCAGATTCTGATATGAATACTCGTCCAAAATCAGCACCAGGATGTGCTAGTATTGTGCCCCCTGAAGGAAAGATCTTATTATCAGGTAAACATAACTGTATGTTACATAAACTCTAATCTGTGATACACTGGGGAACTGTTGTTTAATGACTGTAGCTAGGTTTGATGTGACTCACATTTGATCAATAATGTTGTCAGGAAAAAAAGAGTGATTCTATTTTTGAGAAATATTTTGGGAATCAGAATTGTGGAAGGGTAAGCATTTTTTTCTATATCGAAGAAAGTGAATAAACAACCTGTTTAAAGATTTAAAATGCCAATAGTCTGCTGTCCAGTTCTATCATAACAATGTAAGCAATGTTCATTTCAGTAACACATTCGAGCAATAATTCCTGAATTTTCTTTGAGGCGCTCAGGAAAATTAACCTTAAACCATGTAGCATCTGACCACAGAAAGAAACGCTGTATTGCTACTTCTTTTAAGTGATTATTGCGTTATTTTCTCAGATACTGTGCAAGAGGCATTTACACCAGTGGAAAGCAGCAATGTTCTTGTGAATCCAACTCAAGATATTGGGCACCAACAGTACTGGATCTTTAAGCATGAGTTCTCAGCACAGCAGGCTCAACTTTGGTGCTTAAAACGTAAGAGCAGCTATTCTCTTATGTAGGAAATCAATCAATCATGTGAAACAATGCAGCTCTGCCTCCCTGGTGATTCCATCTTATTAATTGCTTGGTCCTCTGTATTTAGGTTGTGAAGAAGAAGAGTTCTGTAAGGTGACAGATTTACAGGACAACGACACTCTCCATTTCACCTGCACGTTGTATCCGGACACTCAGATCTGCGGTTCCTACAACAAACCGATTCAGCGGTCCTGCACCCTTGTACTGCCAGTGGAGCCTCAGAGTGTGCACCGAAAAAAGAGTGAGTAGGGAGAAACTGACTCATTGCCTGAGAGGAACTAATGGTCAGCCAAATGATTTGAGATTGCCATCACAGTTCTGCGAAGTTGAAATCTTTGTCGGTTACCGATTGCTTATCTTGTGTTCATTAAGTAAAATGTAGAACCACTTATGTCCTTGTGAACATATATCATCAGCCATATACTGTACATTCCTACGATGCTTTTTGACATTTGCAAAATGTTATTTTATCTTAAATGGTACATCCTTGAGGTGTAAAAAGTCCTTTTGGAGTTTTCAACGATCATGAAATAAGCCCTGTAGGGTTAATAAGGATAATATCTAAAGCAACAAAATAGCTTTCCAAGGTCACAGAAACTCTGGTGTAAAGCACTAGTTGAAAACAAAAGCAGCACTACCAGTGCACAACTTTAAAATCTGCTTTATTGCCAGTTTTATGAACTGCCTTCTTTCACTAATGATGACATATTGCTGTAAAACTATTCTCAAAAGCACTTTTGAAAAGGGCTATTGAAATATATTCTGATCTGCTATACTATCCTAAAGTCAGTTGTTGTTTTCTGTATTAAATGATTAATGATAGTTCACTCCCCCTCACACACGCACACCAAAGTGCTTTTCCTGCGTTTCATAGCCCATTTGTTTTTATTCTGTAGCTCTTAGCAACTGGTCAAGAGTTTACTCGTCCTGAAGTTTAGACAGCTGTGAGAATTATACTTTGAAATTCCTAAACCCTGAGCTGTTGAGAGAAATTTGCTTTTATTATTCAGTTGTGCTTGATTCAGTTTCATGGCTTGAACTATTGTAGGACTTCTACTGTCAGGCCCTGTATTGGCAGTTTTAAATTTGTTGTCTCCATCTTCATTAACCCTTCTCCTAGCTGTAAAATAAAGTAACAGACTACATGATGCTACTGTACATGCGTTGTCCTCTAATGTTATCAATATTTTTTAATGTGTTCTCCCTAAAATGGCATTTACATTCATCTTCATTTTGTCTGAAATTGTCTTGGTTTTCATTGGCAGGGTGTAACACAGCTTTACACCCTGGATTTTGTGGAGAACCTATTCATGGCTTTATAGAAATATGCCTTTTGTGTGCCTGAATGTATTTGTGTAACACAATACTGTCAATAAAATTAAATCCCTGCTCTGTAAATCTGAGCTTTCACGTCTAGTAAAAGCCTAACTTGAAGCTACACCAATGCCTGTCAATGTCTGATATTTTGTTTTTGTTACCAGAAGTAACTATGTTAATTTACCTGCAGGCTCTAGATCCGTCTGCTGTTTGCATTCCAGAATTTCTATGTGAAAGAAAGTGAATGGATTGTCTGCATGTGTCTTAGGTGACACAAGAATGGTGTAAGCATCATTTCTGGGTCAAATTTATTTTATCTTAGTAAAGAGCCAGGTCTGATCAAGATGTTGGATGGGCTTAAGTGGGCTTGGTTATCACTGGCTTGCTGTGTACAGGTACACTATTCCCTGGGACAGTTACAGTGTTACAGTCAGAGAATGCATCATTGCTCTAGACAAAGCTAACTTTTAATTAAGGTGTTATGGAGGACACTACACAACATTTAGTAAGCAGCTTCGACAATAAGAATGCTAGACCCATGTGTAAACTGTTTTCCCTTCATGGCAGTGTAGGGTTTGGAAGACTGAGCCAAGTAATATAGTAACATACAGTTACAAACTGGCAGCATATAAAAAGAAAATCTGTGATTTTGAAATGTTTTTCATCTCGCATTTTTCAACAATTAGAAGCACTGTGAACTCTTTGTGGATCATAAAAGGTTTTAGCAATCAGTATTTTCTGTTAGATTTACATAAGAGATATAAAAAGTGGCCTTAAGTTGCCCTCAGTATGCATTTTCATGCTCTTTATGTACAGTACACAAAACTGTTAAACTTTAGTTTCTTATTATAACAACTTAAAACACCTTCACTTGTGTTAGTGAGCACAGTGTTTAAGGTTTGTACAAATGTCAGAAGTATAGCAACATTTGGCTTGACTGAGAGTTGATTCCCAAGTTTAAATCATGTCTAGAATCAACATCGAGATGGTTCGTCTCCTTTGCTGTTGGAGGTGCTTTCTTTGAAATGAGGCGTAAAACACTTTCCATGTGGGCAGCAGGCACAGATGATCTCACTGCACCCTGTGATAGAGGAGTTCAAGTATTATTTTCATTGCCCATGATGTACTCCCTCTTATTTCCCATGGTACTGGAAATTAGATTGGATGAATTGCTTATACTATAAATATTTTGATTAACCAAAACCTCAGATTTTGTAAAGCACAATCCTGAATGCTTTTAACAAAGTTCTATAACAAAAACACAATATACTGTAACAGAATTAGATTTCCTGTCGCAAGAATTGAATTGCGCTGTTTTAATCGCCAGGAGTTTGATGTTTATTTCTCTTTATTTTTCATGTTTATCTTTTTGTAAAGAATAGCATAAATACAACCAGCCTTACAATTATTTCCAGCTTACATTTTTTTTTCACTGTCACACTTACCTTAGTATGAAATAAGCAGAAATGCTGGGCTTGCGTTTCAAAACGAGACCAACAATGCTTTCTTTTCACTCTTTCTTTGTGAAAAGGGCTTTTTATTTGTTATGATACTGAGCATTTCTGAAGTCGATTTGGAGGTGTGTGACTAAATGTTTATGTTTGCATTGTGATGCCACGTGGAGCGGCTCACAATCAGGGAAAAGGTTCTCAGGCACAGACACTCCCTACTCACAAGACTTCAAAGTTATGTAGAGGTGTATTGGCTTGACCTATATGAATGATGGCATTTAGTGGGGGGAGAATGCAGACAGCCTGTGCTGGCAAAAGCTTTTGCAGTAGCAGTAAAGCTCTTCAGATGTGAAGCTAGGAAGAAAAAGAGGCGAGAGTCTTCAGCCCAGAAGCTGGATTATCAATATTTCAGCATGTGTCTGGTCAGAGCCTGTGATGATCCTGTTAAGTACATGCTCTGGTGTCTGCTCCTGGTCGCCACCCATCCATCCTGGTTTGTTTGGCTCTCTATTTATCTGGCGTGGCACAGGATGCACAGCTGCTCTGGTGATCGCCGATGTCCTTTGAGAAATGCATTGCCATCTTAGGTAGAGGAAAAAGCTTTGAAAAAAATTAAAAGTGCTCGGGGAAAGTAATGCCCCTTGTGGCATCACAGTGTACAGTAAATGGATGGCAGGGTGACAATCGAATTAGCGTTGCATCTGTACAGCTCTTGCACCCATGCCGGGTTCGAGCCAGGGCCTCCTTCTGAGTGGAGTTTGTGTCTTCTTTCTATGCATGACAGGAGCCTTCCCGACAAAAATTGATTAATTGATGTTTCTTAATTTACCCTGTGTGTTTGCAAATATAGAGTGTGGATATGTGTGAATGCCCTGTCATCTCATCCAGCCTTGTGCCTACTCCTACAGAACAGGAAAAACTCTTTCAAGTCGCCACCACTCTACCAGGAATAAGCAGCTTTCTGATGAAGCATGTATTTTAAATAAGCAGACCATTGTTAGACATATGACATTTATGAGTTAAAATGGTTTGACCTAAGGAAAACCGAGAATCAAAGAGTTTGTTTGCTCCATACATGGTGAAAATAGGAAAGAGAATTCATGTTGAAATAACATAAAACAATACAATATCATCCTTCTTTGTATCTTTAGATGTTAGTTAGATGGATAAAGGTATGCACTTATCTTGTAATTTGCCCCACATTAGATTGTAAATCTGCAAAAGAATTTGGAAGTAACATAATCTGTGTTTCAGTGGCCGTTGTGTGTTTTGATTTCAGCATGCTGTCAGCAGTGAATTTGTTTTTATCCTTTCCAATGACATACTTTGCAATTCATTTCGTAACTGCCAATAGTTTAGTGTTTATATGTTAAAAGAAAAACTTTGGAGCTACAATCATTACTGTTCTGTCACAATACATGTATAACAGGACATTACATTGTAGTGAGTACTTTGCAAAACAGAAATTTGCCCAGATGTGTGCTCCCTTGTTACTACAGCCTGTAGCTATTGAGACCAGGTGGAAAAGAAGAAAGAGCAGAGTCAAGGAGAATCCCAGACAGGACTCCTATACATGCTGGGAACCACCAGGAGGCCTTGTTTGAAAACCCTAACCTCTGTAACATGTATAATTAAAATTTATGGTAGGGGTTCTTAGTTTGCATTAATCAGCAGTTTTCCATCGTATCCCATTTAAAGTATTTTGCAGAAAATAAAGTTTATCTTTTGCAAAACCAGATTTTTGTATTGTAGCCTATATTAAAAGACAAATAAGTTATTTTCCAAAAGTACCCTTTTGTCTTATTTACTATGGTTTTATTGGTGCATGGCGCTTAGATTGCATTGGAGACCATTCCTCTTAAAAAACATATACATGTATATATACATATACATGTATTTTAGTACATATAAAGTATACACAGTTAAATAAAATAAAAAATAATACTGCATACTGCTTTTTCAGCAATACAGTACCATTACGATATTTTCAGAATTTCAATCCAATTTTGACTTTTGAGGCTGAGCATATGGAGAATATAATCCTTCAGTTAGAAGTTGCTAACAATGTGATTTTTGTTTTTGCTGAGGAACTCATAAACTTAGTAAAATAACTATTTTGGCTGAAGACTCTCTTCTAAGCTTTGCATTGGCTGTTCTGCTTACTTTGATTGTGCAAGAAAAGTTAGTTGCCCATTGTTGCCATGCATCTTGTAGTAAAGAATTTAAGGGGAGATCAGGCACAGTGGACCGGTTGACTTCTGTTGTTAGGAATGCAGACGTTCAGCACTATCTCAAGCTTTCTTATTGTGAATGAGCAGAGATGTGTGGCAGGTTTGAGCAGCTGGAGATCATTAGTGATCATTCTCATGCATCACTTTGCGAAAAGTACACTTAGTGGTATTAAGAGTTAGGTGTATAATAAGGAATAAAAGAATAAATGAAAAGATGAAATTCCAAAAAAGACTCTTTAGTCTCTCTATGATGTTGTTTTATAGTAGCTATTGGTTATTAAAAGCTAACCTATTTATTAAGTGTTTTATGTATCTTAATGTAAAGAAAATAGACATAAATATATAAAATTCTAAATGTATCTCTCCTGCCAAATGTACTTTCAATGCACAAAATTGTGCCTCTTTGTAAATTGCTGAGCAAGTGTTGGACACGTTCTTTGGCTCTATAAAAGAGTCTTTTGTAATTACGCTACATGTTAACTCCAGGGGTTGAAGAGATGAGGGTAATTTCTGTGTTTCGTAATTGGCATTTTTAGAGAATCTCTTGCAAATTTACAAACAAACCATTGTATCACAATTTTAAACAGACTGAATCAGTGAAAATCTTCAATTTAAGGGTACAGAAAGTCAAGCGTCTATTCATTAAGGTTTCCTGGAGCTGTGACTGTGTTCAGGAGGTGACGTGGAAGCATTAAGTCTTTGATACCATGGAAAGTCATCTGGTTCATATTAACACACAGTAGCATGTACATGTTTATTAGTTATTAAACAAGGCTTTACACCAGGTAAAGAAGCAGCAGCACTTTCCAAAGACGTAAAAACAAGTGAAAAAATAAAAGGGATAATTTTGGTCAGCTGTAAAGGTGCATCTGCTTAAATGGGGTTCATGAACGTACAGAAATATGACCTTATTTTCTCTTAGTTTCTTAATTCTCTTGCTGCTCATCAGATGAATGCTGTTACCTATTTAGACAAAGACCATTAGATATTAATACGCGTTTTGTCTTTTTTTCCAACTTATTCCAGTTGAGTTGACAGGCCGTGTGAAGAACTTCTACAGACGAGTGCCATTCACAAAGCTGGTAGCATATTCAGTGCGGAACCGTGTCAACCAGACAGGAAAGCCCGTTACCAATGGGTAAGGTCAGCTCTGGGTTCCACTGTTGCAGATGTTCCTAATACAAAGCATACGGTTTTTGACAGCAATACATATTCGCACTCAACTGCGGAGCGGTGGCTCTGTGGTTAAGGATCTACGCCTGTGGCTGGAAGGTTGCCGGTTTAAATCCCGCAGCCGGCAGAGGAATCCTACTCTGTTGGACCCCTGGACAAGGCCCTTAACCCCAGCTGACCCCAAGCTTCTCTCCCTGTCTGTGTGTTTGTGTGTCTCATGGAGAGCAAGCTGGGGTATGTGAAAAGACAAATTCCTAATGCAAGAAATTGTATAGGGCTAAAAAAGTGATGTTATGTTATGTTACTGTAATTAAGTCAGGTGTGTCCAATTTATACTCCTGCATGAGGTTTTTAATCAAAGCCTCTACTTGCACTTCACAGTAATGCTTTAGGCATATGTTAATAACTGTCTACAAACAATCTGTTGATATGTTAATTAATGCTGTAACACACAATTATAAATAATTTACAGAAACCTAACTCTAGCTTAGGAGCTGTGGCATGTTTCTGGCTGTTGTAGCACCAATTAATCAACAGTAGGAGTTTATTATTGTCAGTTGTATGCAGCCTATTCATATTTTTAGAAATGTATTTATAAATTGATTATATCTAAATATATAAAATTAATCTTTATTTTATACAATTTTATACTTCTTTACTTCTTAATGCAATTTTACCTTAATAAAGTGTAACCTCTACTGTCTGTAATACCTTTTCTGGAAGTTTCTAATGCCTTTTTTCTTCAAGTTAGTGTAGATTGTAAAGGAAATTAAAATAAATGCCGAATGCAAGTACAGCAGATAACTCAGTTATGTTATGTACACATAACATCCCCTCAGATGTGTGTAAATAATTTAAGAAGATGAGTGTTTCTTGTGTAGGTGTTCTTAGCATATAATTCTGGACCGGTGGGGAAATATTAAAGAGAAAACGTGTAATTGTTTTCGTACAATGATAATATTTAATATATTGCTGTATATTTAACAACAGCAACAACAATAATTATGCGTATGACATTACATTATATCACTATTTTACAGACTCTGAATTTTTCTGCTTTCTTTTCCTGTGTATAAGGGATGTCTTACACTCCATTTTCATATAAACCACACATGCTGAAAAGATCTCAGCTTGTTGAACATCCCCAATTTTCATTTGTAAATGTGCATACACTTAACCTCGGTGCACCTTTATAAAAAGAAAGTATTCTTGAACCCTGTGTGCCATTACTCTCTACATCTAAGCATCTTACTTTATTACCTCATTAATGTCCCTGTTTAAATACTTGATCATGCATTTAGAATATTCAGCACGTGTATCTTTAACATCCTCTATGTTGTTACTTGTGTGTAATTATGGAAATGCAATGCTTTACACATCCTGGTGGTTTCTGCATCTCTAACACTTTAAATTACTATGTGAATGAGGCCAAGATTTGCTAAACAGAACACTGAATGGACTGTAAAAATATTATGTTTATTCAGACATTAACTGTTACATTAACTATATATAATGTATAATAAACATAACTATAATCTTTCAAACTTGATAAAACTGACTGGTCTATTGGTGTATGTTCCTCTGCACATTTGTGGAGTAATTGAACAGTCATTCAGTGTGTTTATTGGTCGATGTGCAGGTTTAATGAGTGCGAGCTACGCTGTGATGAAGATCCATGCTGTAAAGGATTTGGGTTCGTCAGAGATTCTCAATCCCCTGGTAAGATTTTCTGGTTCCAGTGAGCTGTGAATTACTGCACAGTTACAAGCAAGACTTTTTTTTTTACAGAGAAGGGAAAGGAACAATTTGCTTATATTTTCCATTTTAGATGTGTAGAGTCTCTGTTAATGATTTTTTTGAATTCAGATTCTAAAGCAAAATCCTTTAACCATGTAAAGTTCAGTATTTTCTTCTATTAACGGTATAATTGGTACAATGTCAAGAAATGCGGGTCTTTAACCTACAGTACATAAAGGAAACCTACATCAGAAGATCATTTAAAGTCTCCATTCAACTGTTACCTGAATGGACAGTAGCATAGGTTGATCATCTGAAATCTCAGCAATATTAAAAATAAAATATTTCCCAAAGAGAAAATGTATAAAAAGAGAGGTAACTAAAATAGAGTGCATTTTAACTTAATACCAGGTAGTGCTGCAGTTGATCTCTGTTTCTTTAATTGGTTATTCCTTCTCTGTAAAACACTGAATACTAGGTAACAGTTCTACATGTCCCCATTGACATTATTAGCAGAAAACATAAACTAGGTATACTGTATGTTCCTAACAAAAATAAATGAATATTTTTTTAGTTGAGAAGTAGCATGAGGTTAACCTTTTTTAAGCTTCTACAGAATATTTTCTTAGAATTTCTTCAGATTCATGGGAACATTGTTCCTTAAAGCATATGACTCATCTTTCAAGTCTGAATTGCCAAATTAACCAAAGTTTACAGCTCATTCTTTCACTTCCAGGAGTCCTTTCTGTGTTTTAACTGTCACACTAAAATACATGTTAAACTGTCCATAATAATTTAATGGCTAAATTGCGACTGATCAACAATAACTGTTTTGGAAATTACGTTTTGTGTTAACTGCAAATATCATTAGCATTTGTTTCCTTACTATGTTTTTATTTGTATTTTATGGTACAAAAACCTTCTAATAAAGGAACAAATTGAATGAATTTAGTAGGGTTCTATTTATTGGAATTTAAGATGTTTGTGACTCAAGAGGAAATACCTTAATGTCTGCAGTTCTGCAGTTTAGATATACATTTTCAATCGCAGACATTTTTTGTTGCTTTCGTTATTTGCTCAGGAAATGAGGTACTGTGCTTGACGCTGAACAGTATTGGAGTTCAAACATGCAGTGACCAGGAGAAGACCACTTGGCGGGTTATGGATTGCAGTACGTCCAAAGCAGAATCTAATGTCCTCCCATTTGGATTCTATAAGAAGCCAGGTGTGTATTGCAGAAAATATATAAACTCATAACCCAGGAAAGCTTGCACATCAAGAATCTAGGTTTATATATTTGAAGTTCTCAAATAAACAAGAATAATTCAAATGTAATTGCTTGCATTTTATAGTACATTTAAACTCAAAGGATCAAAAATGCCTCACATGTTACAGAGGATCTTTTACATTCCCTAATGATTTACATCACCCACCCTTGTGATGCAGAGCAGCCCCACTACTCAGTAGATCGGAAGGAGAAGTTTTTTCACCATTTGAAATGTGAGCAAAATTAAGGTAGACCAGACAGTGCAAGCCCTAAGCCCTATGCTCTAAATGTAGCGAAAAAACCAGGGTTAATTCCTCTGCTCTTACGAACAGTGCAAAGGGCTTTTTAATGAGCAAATACTCAGGAATTCTGTTTAATGCTTAATCTGTAGGACAGTGTCAACTAGAGCACAGTCTCTCCTGTTACCATACTAGGTCACTAGTTTGAAATTCTAAAAATCCAGAGAGAAGACCACAACATACTGTTCCAACACTCCACCTACTCTCCCACTCACTCCAGTACCGACTAATCATATCCGTCCTTACTTCTGAGTTCTGACAATCGTAAAAAATACTGCATAGGACCAGAGGACAAAGCAAAGGCTACTAACTGTATTTAAGAGTAGATATTTCTGTAAGAATACAGTATATGTATGCAGCTGTTGTTGATTCATTTTAAAAATTCCATTCATATAAAGGGAGCACCTACAGTATTTGAAGAGTTTTGCAAGTTCCAAAGATGTTATTTTGTTTGATGAACAAAAGATGAACACTGTCTGTGACTACTTGATCTCCACTTAGCTCTTGTGGTTGCCTTTAGTTTTCTATTTGATGGGTTGCACTATCAGATATTATCTTGTTTTGTTCTTTCAGCCTATAAGTAAAATATCGATGGAACTTTTTTATTATTTTTTGACTTTTGTAAAGGACCTTTCAGTTGGAACTGTAGTATGAAGGAAATTGCACCAAATTGCACTCTAAATTTAAATATAATTCTTCTGTCTGTGTTTCAAAAACAGGAATAAAAATATATCTGTTGTCAGGGACATTATTTTTATGTTAGTGTTTCCAAAAAAGGACGCTCTAGGCTTACCGCAGTTGAACTCTAGGTGGAATGAAAATATTTTTGAACGAATATAATAACCTGTTTATCTGCATGGGTGTTTGATAAATTCCATCTCTTAGAGAGCTGATGCAAAAACAGTTGTAAAACTATTAGCTTCACAGTTTTCACAGCTATTTGAATGTACATATTTTCATATACTGTATGGATGGTCTTCACACAGTATGAATTCTTCACTGAATGATGGGCACAGAAATTCCGGAGAAGCTAATGTACAGTATTTCTTTTTATTGTGCCTCCTGTAGTAAACCAATGGAACCACAATCCTAAAGCTTGTCCTGCTTTCCATCTCCCATCTCCTTACCAGTCACAGAATGGTAAGATTCATGTAATTCTAAACCTTTATACTGTATACCCAGATAAGTTTGTCTGAAGTTCCCACACTTTGTACAAAAAAAGAAATCTATTTTATTATCACTTTGTGTTCTCTATGTGCAATACTTGTGTCTTTCTGCACTGTAAAAAATAAATAATTTAAGATGTGGTTTAAGTATAGACCATTTCTTTATTTAATTTGTCGTTTTAATAGTTAGAAGAGTTCCCCTTTAAGCAACCTTTAGACTTTAAATGTACTATTGTTGTTTAAATAAACAATTACATATCAAATTACAGCTGTCAGTCATTTTACAGAGAAAAAAATATTTAACTTGTTTGCTAACCACATGCTAACCATCTAGAAATTAGAGGCGTAATAATGGTAGTGGATCTAGAATATAAAGCACCCTGTTATGCTTTCACCACATTTGTTAAGATGACTTTCCCTCTTTGAAATTCAAGCCTTATACATGTGTTCCTTACAGACAAAGAACACTAAGAGCTTTATAAAAGACAACGTTCTTTTATAGATAGAGAAATAACAAATATGCTGCCCGTTACCGGGTTGGAAAAACAACTTTAAATTTTATAATTTAAGAAAACAATTTTCTTCTAGCTTCACCTTTGGATTTTTGGCAGTATTGCAAATGCTTTCAATAATCCTCTGTAATATGAAGAAAGCGTTAGTCAGAACATTCACTGTATTAAGCGATCTTTTTCTATGCATATCGGATCTAAGGTTTTTCAATGCCACATTAGCTCACAGGCCCATAACCTTATCACTGAAGCAGAACATAACATCTATAATGCACTATTTTAGTAAAGCTTTTCTTCCTGCTTGAGCTAAATCAAAACCTCACTTACACCATAGCTCAAAGCATACTTTGTACTCTTTGCATATTTACTGTTCTCGCAATGAATATTTTCTCAGAACATACATTGAGTCAATATTTTCTCTTTGAAGATGAAGCAGATTGTGCTATTCGAATGATACTGTGTGTCTGTGGGCAGTCAGTGGAGCTGTAGCGTATTGTGTCGTGCACTTCTGCTTCTGATGTCTTATCACAGCAGGATAATATCACTTAAGCAGGCTTGCTGTATACCAGTATGTTCAATGTTCCCTTTTAGAATCAAGTTTGTATTTAGTCTTTGGACCTGTAGCAGAATGAACTGTTTTTGAGGTTAGATCTACTTTTGGCAGTTATTTGGGTGCAGTGCTGAGTTCTTTCCCTCAAGTCAGACCATATGGTGATGAAACTGTAGACTCTTGTCAGCTTTTGAAATATATATCCTTGGGCCTCCTGGTCCCCACACATGTAATAATGATCTAATTTAGAATTGCTCTTGATTCCACTAAAATTAATGAAATTGGGTAGTGGGGGGGGGGTTGGCACTACTCATTGTTACAAATCTCAGTATGCTGCACTTACTAGTAATACAAAAAATATTTTTTTAATCCTATATGTTTACAGATTAACTATATTATTTTACCAGTAATTTCACATAATGAATAGCGGGTGTGCATGCTAGATTACTTATTCTTGAGACTCATAATTCCTTTTAAAAGTTCTGAGAAAAAATGCACCCTAACTACAAAACAATTTCAGATGTCTTAAGTGAACTCATTAAGGATTGTTTTCCTGTCACCTGATAATTCTTTCAGTTCATTGTGTTTTATACAGTAAGTACTGTGATTATAATTTAGATTATGAATTCAAGATACTCTTTCATGTTTTACTGATGGAATGTAATACAAATATAACAGTAATAACAATAGCCTACATCATATTTCCTCTTGAGTTTCAAAGTGCTTGTTTCGCCACTAATGATAAAATTAGACACAGAACGTTACACTGGCACATTGCATGTCGGCTTTGTTGACTGTGGTGAAGAGTAACATCATGTTTTCTTTTATTCTTGCATTAGTTATATTAAATAAATTGATAGTTTTTCAATCTCTTTTAACACTCCTGTTTGTCTGTGGCCCCCATGAACCCAAGTGATTAAATGTGTACTGGTTTAAGATAGGTTCAGAATCCTGCAGTTCCTCAAAGTCTCTCCCAACCTTTGATTTGGAAATACTGCCCTGTCTTAAGCTTTGTAAGAAGGTTTGTGTTTGAATTTTGTTTTGTGGTTGAAAAATCTCCTTTTTAAAAACACGTTTGCAATGGTAAGCCTTCAGTTTTAAACCTGGCCATGGTGCAAGTTTGTGTTTTTTCATCAGTGTACCCTGCAGTGGACTGGGTGTCCTGTCCAGATGTATCCTGCCTTGGGCCTGTTGCTTGCCAGGATAGGCTCCGGCTCTATCATGACTCTTAATTGGATAAAGCAGTTAGAAAATGGATGGATGAAAACTTGGTCACCGCATGGTTAAAAATGTTGTTGCTAATTCTGAGTCTTTTTGTCCCAGCTGTGTTGAGTGCCTGGGAATTTCTAGATTTTTCCTCTGTTGCAATTGACCCCTCCATCTCAGAGTACGATGTCATTCACTTAAGTAAAGACATCACAGAGGATTTCAACAAATCCAGAGATTGGTGCCTGTCAGGTAATATTTTCTTCAAAACTCATTTCTTTTCATTTTACAGAAATATTGAATATGATGAAAATAATCTCCTGATTTTTTAGGGAAGTTGCTGAGTTAGAGCATATTCCATTGATCTAACTTAAGTGCATATACCACAGTTCACAGAGTTATACTGATGTATGTAATGATAAAGAAAATGAGGGTCAGGCATGACCTTCTTCTGATTAAGTATCTGGTTAAATATAAGTTCTGGATGCAATCTCAGGTACAGAATATTTACAGTAAAACTGCCCAGATTACAAACTGTCTGGTAATCTTGTTTGATATCATCTCATCATAAGAATCCAGTGAGTTCACACCTTAAAGGTTCTCAATAAATAGTAGAGTAGAGATGATACTTCTCAGGGGATACTGTTTTTTGGATGTTGTTGATCCCCTTGTTTGATTGTTTGATGTATTATTGCCTTGCGGAATGTCCAGCTCTTCCAGTGTTTTGATTAACCAAACCTTTTGCTTTCCCCCAGCATGCACAGAGAACGCTTCCTGCGCAACGGTGACTGTGGACATAACCGACTCTGCGGTCCGTTGTGTTTTCTACCCTGACACACACCGCTGCTCCCCAAGTACGCTTGGCCAGGAGTGCAAACTGCTCCTCAGGGAGCAAGGCCTCCTGGTCCTTCACAAAAAAAGTGGGTGAATCCTCCGTGTAGAATCCAGAGTTTACAGGTGCCCCAGAAGTGTGGCTTATCCTACCTCTCAAATTGTCTTTCTTGAACCTACTGTAGTGTTTGTCTCATTCAAGTCTGAAAGTCCCTAATCTCAGCAAGCCCAAGGCAAATCTCCAAATTTCCAGTGAATTACAAGAAAAACATACTCCTATAAAGTAGCAAATGTTCTAGTTTTCTGAGTGACTTGGTCATTTAAAAGGTGTCAACAAAATGGCATAGCAAATTTAAGCGAGTTATTATTATACATTTCCATTTCTGCAATGTGAGTAACTCTTCTTAGTGCACCTCTCACTGTACTGATTGTATTGTATGTATTGTATTATTATTATTGTATCATTCGTTACACTTTGGCAGTTTTGTCTGTGTTAAGCTGCTGTTGCACTGCAATTTCCCTCACGGGATCAATAAAAGATATCTATCTACAGTCAAGTTGTGCATTTATAACTGAGTGTATACAATTCAAACTGATTATTTTTGTTCATCATTATTGTCATCATTTTGATGTTATTATTATGTCAGACTTCAAACCCAGATTGACATCAGTGTTCATCCCAGACCACGGAATGGTTCTTGGTGAATCACAGTTGAAACTGCTGGGATCGGACAGAAAGGAAGTGAACCACTTTCTGGGTGTGCCTTATGCTCTTCCTCCAACGGGAAATAACCGCTTCAGGCCTCCACAGCCTCCCCAGTGGACAGACACTTGGAATGCTACTTACACTAGGTAAATTTAGGAAACATCGTCTGTAACATTTTGTTGTTTACCTCACAATAATTCACTCAGAACTGTACACTGAAGGTTAGAAGAGGTTTATCTTTACATGCTAACACTTCAGTACTGCATTTTTTAGAAAAATATACATTCAAAATACTCACATAAAAATCTTAGCTAGATGAATATAACCCATTGCTGTATTTCAGTTCCTTATTGAGAATAAACATTGTCTAAAAGTTCTTCATCTCCAGTTGAAAACACTGATTACTGGGAATCCGGCCATTTGAAATCTGTTGCATCTTCATTTATAACGATTTGCTGAACTGTATCTTTTTTTCACATTTGAATTTCAGGCCCAGTTGTTTACAGCCCGGTGATGACCAGACATTGGCGGCAGATGAAGACTGCTTGTATCTGAACATCTATGTCCCTCGCAGCATTGTAGGTTTCGTCCTGTAACTGGCTGTTTTGCAAAGCAAATCTCACAACATCTTTGTAACCTGATACCTAAGGGAGTGAAGCCAAGCGAATCTACGTCAGAAAGATGATGTCAAAATAAAAGATTGACATAGAACATGTCATGTGAAGATATAGAAACCAATGTTTCAGAGATTTTATAACAATAATTTGGATTTCATTTGTTTATATTATGGGTGACATAGTGACACAGTGGATAGCATTACTGCCTCAAAGCACTGGGCCCTCAGTTGAATTATTGCTTGGATTTCCTCTGGGTGATCCAGTTTCCTCCTACAGTTCACAGACATACTGGTAGGTTTATTGGCTTGTTGTAAAATTATCCCTTCGATGGACTGGCATCCTGTCTTGTTCCCACTGCTTGCTGGGATAGGGTCTGGCTTCCTTGTGACCCTGAATTGGATAAAGCAGTTACTGTAGTAAATGTAGTTCAGGTGGGTAGCTGCGTCAGCATGCGTAGGCTGCAAAGGAACAAGTAATAGGTTTATTCCATGCTGAAAAAAAGAAGAAAGAGAACACAACGTTTCGGCCGTGGAGCCTTCTTCAGGTGTGAGCAACCTGAAGAAGGCTCCACGGCCGAAACGTTGTGTTCTCTTTCTTCTTTTTTTCAGCATGGAATAAACCTATTACTTGTTCCTACTGTAGTAAATGGATTGGTTAATGGAAGCTCATGTTGTAGGCAACCTTTAGAAACAATTCTCCGTCTTTAACTTTTAATGCTGTGTTAATCACATTTTGTCTTTCACAGAGAGATAATTCCTCGGTTCTCATATTTTTCCACAACCCTGTGAGAGATGCCAGCAATACTGGACAAGACCCACTGGATGGCTCTTACCTTGCAGCAGTTGGGGACATCATTGTTGTTACAGTCAGCTTCAGAGTCGGGGCATTTGGATTTCTCAGTGCAGGTAATGTAATGAAAGTCACAGTGTTCATCTTTCAAATTAAAAACTTTTTCCTCTGCAAAATTTTTGTATTATTCTAAAATCAAGGCTATTAGTTAAAAAGCAGCTGTTGTGCCTTGAAGAAATTTAGATCCCCTGTTCTACTTCATTTATGTTGAATGAATATATATTGTTTTGCTTTAATTTGTGGTGGATAGATACTGTAGTTTTCACGTCTTTAAATACTGTTACTTTTGAAGTATTCCATCCCTGAGGGCACCTGAGTAAATCAGCAAGGGAAGAAACGCATTCCATTCCCTCTGGTGGACAATGTTTTGTTAAGCACAGAGAAGGAGAGATTCTGAATAAGAACATTAAAGTCTGCCAGACAGGTCTAACAGACAACCTCTTTAGGCCTGGCTTGTAGAAATGTTAAAGCCTTTAACTCGAGCAAGGTTAATGATCCCCAAAGGGCAGACAGCAGAAGACACATCACCTTTAAAAGCTTGTTAATCTGGATTTCAATTGGAGATCTTTGAAAGCGCACTGATGAAGGGCAAATAAATCTTTCTTTGTAGTTTCATGAACAGATTTTAACCTTATCTCAGAAAGTATGTTTCTGGTTCTTAGAAAAGCATGATAGGATGTCGAAACCTGATTCCAGCGAAAGGCTTTTAGAAAACCTTTAACGTGGTTTGGAAAGGCATTATTGCAGATAATAAAGAAGCAAAGTGGAAGCTGATGTCTTCCCAATATTGTTGAAGATTTTAAAGTTTTAACATGAAGTACAAGGTATTGTCAAACCATGAAACAACATGAATAAACAAACATTGAGGAGAATATTTTTCACCTATGAAACACTGAATATTCTCTATAGTCACTTTAAAAATATCATGTTAACATTGGAACGTAGCTACATCAGACACTACCTGTACTATTAAGCAGCCAGATTGTAAAATAGTGTCTTCAATAGCTGTTAATAGTCTGCTTTACAAGCAAATGCTATTAAATGTCTCCCATTTAGTCAGATCTGAATTTTTTTAAATTCATTTTGAAAAATATGAACTGTGCTTAAAATCCTTCTTGTTTTTATTTGTCTTTCTATCATATTTCACAATGGAAATTCAGCTTCCACACTTAAATGACACTTGTTGACTAGAAATGCTATGCCGTGCAGTGGCCTGACAAGAGGATTGTTGTGCTACAACAATTATGTAACCTCAGGTGTAGTTAAGATTGATAGATAGATAAAGAATAAGAAATAATAGGCAGGTTAGATAGCTCATGCTATGCTTTAATCCCGAAATTGTATGTCTTAGTGTGCATTCACAATTCATACCTGTCTTATCATCTCTGACTCATCTATCAGATCATCCCTGACAGACACAATATATTGATTTTTTAATGGTATCATATTTCATAACTGTCGCAATATATACACTTCAACACTTTGCACATTGTATAGCATTTCAGATAAGATTGTACTTGTTTCCCTGATCACTTTTCTTTAAACGTAAAAATTACAAATGGGGAGAGATCCAAGACAAAGGCTTTAGTGTAAAGTACTGTAGCTTTGGTTCTTGTCAAGAAGGCTGTGGACAGAATGTGTTGTGAACAGGTTAAAAATAAGAAAGTATGTTTGTCCACCCACATGGTTTTCACTTAACTGGTGTAAAACTGACATTAATAGTACCCATTACATCCTGTCACGCTCTATGAAAAACAGTTGTGAGACAACGAAAGCAGGTAAGAAGTGGTTGCGAAGTTACAAAATACTGTCAGAAATAATATGCTCAAATGATCCCTACAGCTCTTAGAAATCTTGCAGTAACTGCTGCTTGTCGAAGTTTAGTTGAGAAAGTTACAAGTGCCCGTCAACATGAACTCTTCTCTGAGGTAGCAGGTGTTAATAGGTTCATGTCATTATCCAGCATGTTAGAGAAAAGATGACAGCTCAGTTAATATGTGGTAGGGTGGTACACTCCTCGTTTAAAAGTGCATCACGATGGACAATGTGTTTTTGGATGAAAACAAAGACTAAAAATTTAATTAAAAGAAGAGTGGGTGTCCTCTAAAATGTTTCATGTCGTGTTTCTTGGTATTACATCACACACTATATGTATGTAAATGTTTCCATTGTTAAATAAGTTAAAAAGTTTCATCTTTTCAAAAGTGCTCTTGCAAATATTCAGTCAGCAAGTATATTTCTAAACTAGAAAGACAGAAAAGCAGTATTTCCATCTCATGACGTCAGATGTTAAGTCACCCTTGTAGAGATGGTATTAAAGGTAGTATTCTGAATCGGGACTGCACATATTCTTCAGTGAGTTTGTCCTCGTCTAAATTCAGAACCTTGCAGTGCACAAGGTGCCATAATTCTTTGAGATTTCAAAGACTGGATTTTATTGAATGTCACATTCCAAGTAAATTCATATTATGACATTATTATTTTGATTAATTTTGTGATGTAGCAAATTTCCTAAAAGCATTCAAATCCTTTGGATTTCAAGGTAACACCTAGTTTTGTCTTCTCCTGGTACTGTATGTATGGCAGCCAGGATCTCCAGTTAAATAGCACAAACAATGAAATAACGTATTAATTACGAATCACATCATAATTTGTTGAATGTCCTTGTGAAACCCTAATGAGTTCACTCGTTCTGAAAATCTACACTTCAAGTTCCTCTGAAAGAGAAACAACTGGACAAGGGTAGCCCACTCTAGCATGAACAGTACAAAGACAGCTGGATGGGTGACTGTCTTGATGAGGGGTTTAACCATTGTTTTAGGTTCGGAAGCTGCCCCTGGGAACTACGGTCTTCAGGATCAGGTGCTGGCTCTGAGGTGGATCCAAAGCAACATCGGGCACTTTGGTGGGGATCCTGGGAAGGTGACTCTGGGGGCTGAGCGGAGCAATGCAGACATTGCAAGTTTGCTTCTTACTTCTGCTGTCGCTCAAGGACTTTTCCACAGAGTGCTGCTTTTGGTAAGATACAAACACCGCCTCTTGAATGTCGAAGTAAATCTTCCTAAAGTACTCTTTTACAATATGGCTTGATTTCATTTGGTTAATTGCCTGAACTTTGCAGACTAATGCTTTGACTTTTGCATGATGTCAACGTCGTTGAATGTGTGCTGACACATTTTTTTGCTAGGTACTTATTAAGGCCATAAGCTGCCGAAAGGTTTCTTAAGGTCCAAGGTTAGATTATAAAAAGGACTCTATGATGCACTGCTGATAGATCAACATACTGTAATATGCGGTAAAAACATTTATTCTCCTCACACTCTTCGGTGTTGCTATCAAATGGGTTAATATGTGTCTGCTGTAATGGATGGACCAATCCCAAACAACTTTGTGCCAGAAAGGTACAATTTTATTCAGTCACCTAATTAAAAGAATGGGAATGTTAACGTTTTTATTTTAATTGAACCAAAATGCTTGTTTCATATCTGAAGATGTTGAAGCACCAAAAGGTCTAGTTTGGGTGACAAGACTGAGAGCTATTATTATGCTCTACTCAAGGTTATCTTTACCTCTCACCTTGTGTTGCTCTTCCTGTGAAACACTAGAAATGCTGTTTGCTTGATGTAAACCCTTAAAACAGTATTAGAGAACAGAGTAGTGTGATGTGACAGAAAAAAAAGGACACATTTCTTTTTTAAAGTCTATTTTTAACAAGGGAAGTAGCAAATTATTTTGGTTATTAGTGTGTATTAAATGCACAAACCACTGTTTCTGGATCTTACACATCATACTTCATTCTGGAAGGTGAAGAAATGACCAAGGCAGAGATAAAAAAAAAAAGATTTCACGCGGCTGGTGTTTTCCTGACCTGTTGAACAAAAGAAATTATCCATCTCCAGACATGACTACTGTATGACATCTCTGATGAAACAAATTATATTCTTTTCTGAAGGGTGATTATCTGTTCTGCATGTAGCAGAGTGATCATACCACAACAAAGAACATGATTCCATTATGGTCCACTATCAAGTTTTTCGTTTATGATAAGTGACTGATGCATATGAGAAAACATACTTCTTTTCAGTGATATTCTTCATAAATTGGTTATTGCTTGTAATAAAGTAATTAATTATTGATCCAAAATAATGAGGTAGAATTAACAAATTGTGATATTAAATAAGCCTACCTAAACATGGCTCTTTTGTTATTCCTTTTATGAGCTTTTCTCTGTTCCCTTTTCCACATCCATTTAATTGCAACACTGCTCTCCACAGTGGTGAAATTACGACTGAAATTCTGACCACTGTAGTCTCATCTAGTCACGGACCCTTTTCTTTCACAGACATATTTCTTAAAGTGTTCCAACACTCCTAACTAATTTTCATTATCCAGCTTTGGAACTTCAACAGTGCATTAAACTATTCCAATGATAAGCACAGTAACTGAGGCTGGTACTCAGGCCCTAAACATGCTATAGACACCTTACCCTCGATATCATTATAACACTTGGGCATATGCCTTCCATTCAATCTCCGTTACTAACACACTGATGTTTATTAAGGTACTGTATAATTGGTGGTTTCTGCCTTGAATTTATAGTGGTTTGCTTTCAAACTTGTTCATTTTATAAAGAGCTCCAATAACTTGCTTGTTTGTAGAGACCTATTTTTAAATGTGGCAGCTTCCTATCATGGTGTGTGTGACAATTTACATTTTATAAAATATAAGTTAAATAAAAGCTATGTTTCAGAGAATATTTCTATTTTTAGCTGATAATTTGTTTTTATCTTTATTGATTGGTTTCCTTTAAATATTACACAGTGACAAACGTGATGTAGAAAGATAAAACAATGCAGATATTTTCTTTGAAATAACAGTGAACCAATGTTTCTGTTCTAATTATAGATTACAGGACAGACTACAGAGCAGAAAGTATTTCTATTTTATAAAAAATAGAAAACAACCAGACAAGTATAACCCAATCTAGCATGAACAGCACAAAGACACTTTATAGAGGAACTGCAGTCCAAATTTTTCAGACCGGTTATTAAATCTCAGTGACAAACTTTAATTTAAAATTTGACAGTATCACAAATTTTTAGAAATTCTGAATTAAGCAGAAGGTTGTGAACTTTGTGAAAGCACTGTATAGTCACCATGTTGTTACAAACCCCTGGTCTCACCAATCTCTCACGAGATTGAGAGTTCACGTAAATTGTGATGTGAAGCGGCCCTTCCTGCTCACTAGTTACTGTAATGACTAATGTCATGCGATGTACAAGCGCATAAGTACAGGATGTACAACAGACACTTCACCTCAGAATTGTTCCAATGTGATCTCCATGCAGAGTTAACAAGTAAGAAGTATTTGTTTCCAAATATGAAGTTGAGAGCAATATTTCTATTGGATTAAAAGAGGTGTGTTCTTCTTTGCAATGTACAGTAATAGGGCCGTTTTACCTCACCAGAAGTTTGGTTGCCTCTTTCTGAATCGCAGAATATGGTGCTGTGCACACCTGGACATTGTACTGTATATTATGTTATATAAATTGGAGTTTTAATACTGTATGTTATTGTGTACTCATCAATGTTGGTTCTTTCTAACCCCCAAATATAAAAATAGCGTTGCAGTTCTGCTTTAAAAGGATCACTGTCTTTATGAGACATATTACCATTGTTACATATGCTTTCTTAGTGTTTGGGAGAATGCTTTTGAGTTAGAATAGGAATTCCAAAAATGAGTTATAAAACTATATTTTCATATTTTATGTATTGTCACATTTGCAGTACAATATTTGAAACTTATATAAGGTGCACTTCATAGTTTGAGCATTAAAAATGCATTTAACCAATAGATCTGTATTGTCACTTTTTCATACATGTATTTACATAGCTAATTAGAGAAGGCTATTAATATTAAAAAATGAATATTGTGAAATGTCATTATTTCTCTCATAAGTTACTAAAATAATAGTATAAAAGAAAGTATACATAGAGAATATATACTGTAGTGCCCTCTGAATTTATGCATTAATTGATCAAATAGGAACAATAAACTCTGATAGCACTAATAGAATTATACAAAGCAAAGTCATATTTGTTATACAAAATTTCCAGGTAACTAAAGTCCAGAAAATACAAGAGTCACATTTATTCTCTTCAATTAAGTTAGTATTTTGTGAATCCTCCTCTGGCATAGATCGTACTGACTACGTGCCTTTCTGTAGTGTGATATGAGATTATGGCATTTCACAGGGGTAATTTATGAGCACTGCTTTTTGTAGAGTTTCTGAATCCTTCAGATGCTTATATTTTTGTAAGTGCTGCTACAACTGCTACATCACAAAGTGTTATTTCGAATCACAAATTAGATTGAGGTCTGAGGTGACCAATTGAGTGCATTTATTTTATATACAACTAACCTTTCTTTTGTTGATTTTGTGTGTTTCGGTTCATTGCTATGCAGGAATGTCCATTTTCAGCCAAGTTGCAGCATTCCTGCTATCTGGTCACCATGTCCTGCGACATGTTAAAGCTCATAATTTCGCCTGTTTTGATAAGGAACCTTAAACAGGAACCATTGAAGCCATACACTCTCAAAATATTTCAGATTTCAGCATAGTCCCCCCACAATTTTTCACAATAAGCATGTTTCCCCAACATTAACTTTTTCTTCTTGAACACAAAATGTAACGCTTTGACGAACATGTCCAATAAGCTCAATTTTTATTTAATCCAGCCATAAGATAGTTTGAATTGTCATTTAAATAATGTTTGGCCAGTTTGAGTCACCTCTTTTTGTAGTTTGCCCTCAGAAAAGCCTTCTTCCTTGTAGTCCTTGAGAAGCTCTATGACCTTAACCATTATGATGCACGCTACTATTGAATATTTTTTATATGTACTGTACAGTATTATCTTTTTATATCTCAGAGAAACAGGAAGAAATCTTCAGTTTTGGAAGCTTCCATTGTAATTCCAGAGCAGAAGAATATTCTAGATTTGTTTGTGCTGAAGTTTATTGAAAGGAATAATTAGAGTGGTCAGTAAATGTTATCCTCTTGTTTTCTGGAACTCATTTATCTATGACAAATATGATTTTGTTCTGTGCAAACCCGTTATGAATTTAGTGTAACATCTAATCTGTAACTCATTCTACTATAAGCTGTTTTTTGTTCCTTATTTATTGGGGTTATGAATAAATCTGGGTACTATGTATTATATAAGATATTTTACTTTATTCAAGGGGGCTAAGAATGATATTTACAACAAAAAAAATAAAATTTGTCATGAAACTTACAGGCAAAGATCAAAGAAGCTTAATATCGACATTCAAAGTATAATTGGTGCTATATTTGCTCTTCATAGTATTCCTCTTCAATAGGGAAATCATTGTGCTCAGAATCCGGGACTGCATACACTGATTTGCTCTTCTTCTTACGGCTGTTTTTCTGTGAGGTTTTTCCTGTGCTTGAAAGGGACAGGTAAGAAGCAAGGCTGTTCCTGACTCCAAAGCTTATTAAAGAGTCTCTGTTCTCTCTGTGAGGTGCAGCACTCTGGTCTATTAATTCTGACCTGTAAAAAAAAAAAGTGTCATATTTTAGGAACATGTTTATCTTGTCTCTGCTCCTTTTAAACGGAATATGCTTGACAAAATTCAGTGAAGTAGAGAGGAGGTTTTTTGGTGTAATTCATGCGTATTCTGCAGTGCAGTGTACTTGTATGTTTGTATTCTGGAGTGTATAAAACTGTAGGTTTTACTAAGTCACAGAGAAAAGCTATAAGGCCATAAAATTTGGTTTGAAAGTTCCTGTGACTATGTTCATTTAAATGTTAATTGTGCATTTTAGTTATACAGTCATTTGTCATTGTCATTGCACATACTGTGTTTTATGTGTTATTTTTATTAAATTAAAATGTCGCGTAGCTTTAACTTTTATCACAACTTTCTAAAATAGGCAAAGATATGATTTAATTCATAAGTTCATGTTCTTGGTTTCAGTTTTGTGAGGACTGAAAAAAAGGTTTGTGTCCGTTTTAAGTGATACCTGTAAGCCTCAACATTTTAAAGGAGAAATAAGAGAGATTTGCAGGGAGAGTGAAGGCACCACTCTGAGCTTTGGTCTAGCAGAAGGGTGTGTGTGGAGGTGCAATTTGGTCTGTAGCAAGAATTTGAAGGTATTTGTTTCTTATAGTGCATCATACAACTTGTGTTCTCTGATTTCCTGTGTTTTCACCACACATCTTGAAGGAAAGTCAGGATTTTGCTGTCATTACTGAAACAATTATGCTACTGGGTTGTCATCTTTTGCATATTGATCCATTAACGTTAAGTCTAAAGGGATGATAACTGGTTCTCAACAAGAAAGGTAGTTCAGTATATTAAAGTGCATTCAGTGAAACAGTAAAAGCAAGTTACATCACCTTTCCACATTGTTCCAGTCAAAGTTGTTGCGTCGCATTACAACAGGGGGAGGCTGATTTGCGAGGTTGAGGTTGTTATTGCTGAATGTGAGGCAGGGGCTGGTGAGGATACAGCAAAGGCCATCCGCCATTTCTGGAAAGAAAGTTGACCCATTGAATACTTTACAAAAAAAGGCACTTGAAAGAGGCCACACTAGCACATCTGCTTTGCTTCCTGATCTGTTTTTGTGATAGTATTGTGGCAGTCAGGTGGTCACAGTATGGTATTTTTGGCTGTTTTTTCTTTGTATTTCTTGTTGCTTCATTTCCTTCCCATTACGCATCTTAATTTTTATATATCATGTTGCTTTCTATTTTTTCTCGGGCTTACACTGTTGCTTTGAACAGTGACTGACGATTCAGCCATGCTGTAAATAGGAATTGGAAAAACGTGTCTGAAAACTGAAAGCTTGTCTACAGCCTGAGAGCAGATATATATCTTTCACAAGCATGCTTATGCGGCACACTGATGCAGTGGCTGGGGCACTGAGTTCTATTGCAGACATGGAGTGCTGTTCCATGAAGTTTGTATGTTCTCCCTGTGTTTATGTGGGTTTCCTTCGGAGTCTGTAGTTTCCTCCCACAGCCCAAAGACATAGCTGTAGGTTAATTGGATTCTGGAACCTCAGTTACTAAAGGAAAAGGTTCAGAACAAATGTTGAGCCATATAAAACCCAGACATCACTGGTTTCAGTCTGGATTATTGCTATAATTATTAGAAAATATTCAAAAGCACAAAAATGCTATTTTGGATAGACCACCACAAATATTTACTTCCTGGTTTTATCTATTTATTTAAGATGAACACTTAATCAAGCCACTTAATTGTTATTCAAAAGCAGAATAAAGGAAGTGATGTCTTCATAATTAAATGTTGCACATATTTAGCAAATAAAAGCACAGAGAGCTCCGTGAAGATGAAAAATAAAACTGATCCTTCTGCTTGTGGTACTGTTAAGACTACAGTACATTAAGACTACAGAAGATATATTGTACATTTATGCACAGTACACAATACTTATTTTAACATCCTCTGAGTTACAGGAAGTACATAATGCATGTTTAATTCTATTTCCTGTCATGAATGAAGTAAGAAAGATCATACTTTATTGTGAAACTAATGCTTAAAGAATCAGTAACTTATCTTATGCCCAAATAATTATAGTTTATGCATCTTTGGTGAGCTGACAGTTTTTGATACTTAAGTATCCTCTTCCTGTGGTTTCATATTCGTCATTACACACATGATTTGTAGACAATTTAAATTAAGGTCTTTGTTGCATGATGTAAAATATGGTCATATCTGGCCTTTACTGATATTTTAAATCTATTCAAGACAGAAAAATACTGTATGTCTAGAAAATAACATCTGTAAAATTGTTTAAATTTGAATATAAATTATAAAAATTGCTTTGTTAAAAAAGAAAAAATGAAAGAAGAGTTACTGTAGAAGAAAGAAATTAGAGTAGATAAAAGACCTTCCTACATTCCTGTTAAATCAAGACCTAAGAAGAAATTAAATTTGAAGCAAGTAACTTTTAAATATGAAACTCAATGAACACATTGCTTTGTGAACAGTTCCAAGAAAATGTTTGTGAACACCCTAGATTGGTCTATATTCTTTCTGCATTTTTTAATGCAAGTCTTTATAATAGATGATGATAAGCATATTACATTTACAGTATCACACAAAAACATACAATATATTTAGATTATCGAATTAACAAATTGATCCAACAGTAAATAAAGTGAATATGAATGTGTATCCTTAGATTAAGTATCTGGGCCAATGACTTCAAGTCAGTGACATTTGAGGGCTTCTTGCATAAACAGTTGGTTTCAAGTCTTGTGGTAAAATTTCAGTGGAGTTTAGGTCTGGACTCTGACTTGGCCAATTTGAAATAAAAAAATCTTCTTTTGTCATTCGGTTGTAGATCTACTTGTATGTTCACAACCATTTTCTGGCTGCATGACACACTTTTGGCTCAGCTTCAGCTGACAAATGGAAGGCCTGACAGTTCCCTCCATTGCTGATTCACCACTGAATTCATGGTTCTGTCAATGTTGGCAAGCCATCCAGGTCCTGAGTCAGCAAAGCAGCCCCAACCCATGATACTCCCACCACCTTGCTTGAGAGTTACGATGAGCTGCTTCTGTAAGCGGTCGGTTGATGGCTTCTGGCTGTCTGGAAGAGCTTCTCCTGTTGAAGGCAGTATTTGTTTTTTGCCAGACAAAATGTTTCACTTTGTGACCAAAGAGTTCAACGTTTGACTCATCTATCCAGAGAACATTCCTCAAACAGGCCCGTGGGTTGTCCAGGTGCTCTTTGGCAAACTTGGGCTGGGCGATAATGTTCTTTTTGTAGAGAGCAACGGATCCGTCCCGGCTAATTCTGCCATGAAAACCATTCCAGCTCAGTCCTTTCCTGATGTGTGAGACATGAACTGATACTAACAGCAGCGAGAGAGACCTAACGGCCTCAGATGTTACTCTGGGGTTTTTCGTGGCTTCCTTTTCTGGGTTCCTCTTGGGGTGATCTCCTGGCAGGCAAACCAGTCCCAGGAACAGTCGACTAGGAAAATCTTGAATATTTTCCATTTGCAGAAATGCAGAAATTTCCATGACAATGGATGATGGATGACGGATGAGTTCCAAATGTTTAGAAATATTTTTGTAATCCTCCCAAGACATATGAGATCCTCTGAAATTTTTTTGAACTTACTGTAGTATGATGTTTCCACTATGCTGTATAGTGAACATCAAGCTTGCAAAGATTCTACTAATTATAGAGAACAGGGCTACTGAATCTCATTCCTTGTTTACTTTATTATTATTTAGCCAGATGATTCTAATTACCCCATTAATTGTGCTAAGTAAACTAGAGATTAATTTAGTAGTTCATATTCTCTGATTCTTATTCATTTTGTCTACTTCAGGCACCATGGCATCTCAGAAAATTATTCAATTTAAGAAATGACCGGTTTCAATTAAACAAGGGTACCGTGATAAGAAATCATTATTCCCATTATTGTCTGGGGGGGTTCACAATTTTTCTTTTTGCACTGAATGCAAAAAGGTCAGCTTATTTTTGTTGTTTTTGTTGTCGTTGCTGTTGTTGCTATTCTATTCTGGTCTCTTTCTGTTCATCCTGTTTTGTCACTTTGCTGACTTGCTAACACTTGCAATGTGATGAGCTGTCAATGGCCAATAACTTACCAGAGTAGTGGTTAACTAAGTCTTCTAGGCACTGGAAAGTGAGGCGAGGAGAGATGTAGTACCAGTTGTTGGGTAAGCGAAAGATCCGATAATGTTTTATAGTTCTGTGCCTTACTGATAAGGAGTAAACGCCTACAAAGCAAAAACAAAGAAAACATTTTAAGCATTTTAATGCCACAGAGTAGCATGCATGTTCAAGCATCCACAGAGGCAATGTATCCACATTCATGTGAACTACTAAAAATAGTATTGCTACTTCCTCAGTATAGCAGGCTAATTTGTCCCATTAGCATCACATGGCTAAAAATACTAGTTTTTTAGAAAAATGTATGCTAGAGATGTAAAAGGGTAATCAGATGTGTATATATACAGTAGGTTTCAATTAGTAAATGCATGTGTTAGTACCTCTTTCAGTTTTGCTTTCTCTTATCATGAAAGACCCAACTCTGTTGCTGGGAAGCTGTAACAGTTCTTCTGCTTTGTGTCTTGCCACTCCCTCAAACAGCCACCTTTTGAATACAAATAATTTATGTATTAACATAATGCATCTTGTTAGTGGTCAAATCTGAGCCCTGGAGTTTTGCAGGTTCTACGTTTTTGTTTTGCCAAAAAGGTTTGAATAATTGTACATTATTGTACATTATTATTTTCCTCTTATCTGCTGAAAACACATAAGAAGTTTTTTTATTAAATATTTTTGGGAGAATGAAGGTGCTTTTCTAAAGCAATCTGAAATGCTATGTCACTAGATATACATTAGTTTATTGATTTGGAAAGGAAACACTTTTTGGGTTTAAATTAAACCAAGAATGTTGATGGACTCTAGTCTCACTGTCATTTTAACACAAGGCTCTAAGTATTATTTTAAAACTGTATGCTCACTTGAAAAACCTATTATCAAATGGATTTACTTAAGCAGAGGACTCACCCATGGTAAACTTTGGCTACATGGTTATTTGGAATGTAGTTTTCATTTCCTGTGACAACAGATCTTACTTTCCACCAACACCCTTCTCTAGGAAGAAAAAAGAGGAAAAAGTATATAATACAAACACAACCATCACAATTCTAGACATTTACTGTCTCCTTGGCTTCGAGTTCTCATCTGTAATGTGCAATGCACTTCCTTTTGTAATTCGACACTGCATTCAGTAGTGTCATACTATATATGTGAAGAGGAAGATTTGTTGAAATAATAATTAGGAACTACAGCAAAAGAGATAACCATCACGGAACATTCAAACAAATGATCCATAACATTTACATGGATTTTATTGTGTTTCAGATGTTTAATGTGTTAAAGTTAGTTTTAACAGGCAAAAAAACATATTAGAAATGGTTAAATATGTGTTCAATAGATAACAGGGTTAATTGAGCATTTAAACATTAGCACTCAGTAAATGAATGAATTTATTAGAGTAAGTGATCAAATTATGTCTAGCTGTCCAATGTGAGCACCTTAAGCACAAACAACAGAAAGGTGAAAAGACTTCATATCATATACTAAAATAAACTAATTACAGTAAGATGCTTCCTTAAATATACTACCAAGTTTTATCGGAACACGAAAATGCAAACAAAAGCTATGAAATTTATAAAGATGAAGTACAAAAATAGTTCATTGTCAAATCAAAACAAAGTTTAGTAGATTAAGTTGAAGCCTAATGTTATAGTTGTGCTTTTGAAGTGACATTTTGTTTCGTTACTCTTTCCTATGGCTCCATTTTAAAAGCCATTTTCCGTAAGTTAGTCTTTGTTATGCTATCCGTGTAATTCTCCTAAATAGAGCGATTGTGTCTTTCGGAAGATGGAACCACATGTGTGCGTTCTGAGAATTTTTTTTTTGTTTTTTCATTCTGTCAAACAGTGTCTTAATTTCCCTTCTTAAGTGTAGCTTTTAAATGTCAGATGACATCATTAAAACGGTGCTAATGAGAAAACAGTCAAAATAACTCGTTAAAGATGGATTAAGTTACAACTGCTGCCTTTGCCTTCTAAAATGAAATTCCGATAACATGGCTAATGAAACAGCATGAAAAAAAATACATCTTACACAGATAAAAGAGCAAGCATTTGATAATCCTTTCAAACAAGATGCTCTGTACAGGTTTGTTAATGTAGTCTATATTAGCTGTGAGGCTTTAACAGAAAAACCCATATGGTTGAATTTTTCTGATTGAGCAACACAAGTGGACTTCTTTCAAGCATTGAATCAACCAGACAAGCTACTGTAGATGGGCCAGATGGTTATTCGCATTTGTAACCTTTCGTACTGTATGTTAGTATGAGAATAAATGTGCACTGTGGATCAAAAGAGGCCCAAAACTCTCTGGAAATAACAAATACTGAAATAGTAAAGAAATATGTGTTTTTCTGATGGGTGGCGTTCAAATGAGCATCCCATTAGAAGTTTTTCTCACTTTACTCAGATACTCAGTGACTGCAAAATGTCAACCGCAGTTCTAAAGTACAAGTTGTTCTTCTTTCCTTGAAGGAGAATCCCACTTTTTGTTGTGTTCATTTCATTTTTGAGATCGCAGCTCTAAAAGTTACAACAATACAGTATTCTTAGAACAAACGTTACAATGTGTCCATAAAAATCAGGATAATAGGACTGGAGAAGTGTATTTCATAGCAAATTGCTGGGCTGCTCACATTCCTCTATCTTCTCTACTTGACGAAGCTATGTATGGAATAAACCTCTGGATAAGGCCTCGGTCTGAGGTGGCGTTATGTGTTTGCCTTGCTGTCACAGTCGTGAATGGTTTTGAATCACGAACAGTTCCAAATCGAAGAATGCGAAGTCACTTTAAGCGCAGACCCAGATACCTTTGGGTTACCTTCTGTGCAAATGCCCAGGGATTGTGAATTTTAGTAGTTTGTGCTTCAGATGTGCTGTGCAAGAAACCCCTGCTAACTGCTTTATGTGAAGTATGTGCTGCAGAAATGCTGAATGAGGAAAAGCCTGGAGACTTACTCAGACAGCACTTTCAGCTTCTCCCCTGTCCTGAAGATAGGTTCACTGATATCAGGAGAGGGATAATCATGAAGCACAACAAGCATGTCATTGTCGGCAGCTGTGGAATATAAATCGTAATAATGATAATAATTTTGATAAGTCAGTCTTGAATAATATATGCAGTGGGATTATGTGAAACAGTATTTGACACAGTTTTACATATGATGTATCATAAACATAAAATTAATATTTGAAGCCATCTTGCAGTGAAGTACCTCATTACCAAAGAGGTACGTACTGTAACATCCATTTATTTTAACAGAAAACATCTTTCTTTTGATCTAAGGCATCAAAATTGTAAAGGACCATAAGACATTTGTCCTTCTTGGAACCACAGTAACAGTATATACAGTACAGTAATTGACTAAATTATTTAGTTTGACAAAATAGTAGTTTTTCTTCACGCTCTTAGTGATTTATGGTTACTGTACTTAGAATCAGGATTTAAACATGTTTTGTGCCTAATACATTGGCCAATAGCTTATAATAGATAATAATAGCTAAATAATTAGGCAGATTATTTAGCTTTTTTATGGGCAAATGAATGGGTTAAGAATTTACAGTTCTTAGCAAGAGAAAACAGTTAAGCCCTAAGTGACTATAACATTCCTGTTTTAGTTCATTTTGAAAATCCATTCAGACTGTTAGCAACGGAGAAAACAAATTCTGTTCTGCAGAGACTCACTGTAAATAGGAAAGTGTATTAATCTGCTTGGTTTTTAATATTTTTGAGGATCAATTAAATATATTGAATATCTTTTTTTTTTAAATATATTTTAACAACCGTCTTGCCTGCTCATAAAAGCTCTCTGAAGCCCTGAACTCCACAGTGTCTCTGCTCATAAAATGTCTCTAAAGCCCATGGTAATAGTGTTCAGGTTAAGGCCTGTAGTCTAGTAGTCTTTGGTTCCTTTCTGTGCAATTAACTGAGTGTGACCAACATTCCCTGCACAGGCTACACATGGCAAGAGTGAGTGGTCTTGAAGCAGACCCTATAGTGCTGTCCCACAAGGCACCAGGGAGTTTTCCCTTCAGTGCAAACTTGGCTTGTCAGCACGAGTTACAGAGGAATGTGTGCAGCCGCAATGCTCTGGAAAAAAAAATCTGCACAGATATAACCTGTGGAAAATATAAGTACTGTACATCTGATCATATGATAACCTTATATCTAGATAGTTCTCATGCTTCCAGTTTGCAGCATCTGCAGTATACTATATACACCATGTTTTATACAGTGTATACTTTATTTATTTCTACATATACTGTATACGCTAACCAATGTTGCACTGTTGAAGCTTGAACAAACTCTTTTTATGAACGGAGCAGAACTACATTTGTCAGACATTCAGAGCAGTAAGCTACTGACAGCAAAAACAAGCAAAACAGGCTTTGTCTCATTTCTAATCTGGATGCTTTTATACTTTGGTGTTCTGTTTCTACCAAGCAATACAAATCAATAATTAACTTCAGATTACAGCTGCACCAAGAAAATTGGACTCATCAATTATGAGTTATTAAATGATAGTGTGAGGCTGTTCCATTTTTCCTTTAGCAGGAGTAATCAGAAGCTGCTCACTACAGACTAACAGGTACTATGGTTATAAAATACAATTATTAACTGCTAGGGATAACGGTGCCGTTTTGTTATGTTGATACATCCAAGTACTGTAAATATTTTTTGAGCAGTATGCCTTAATCTCTGATAAAGAGTCTAAAATTAAATGTCACCATCTCCAAAAAAAGTCTGCCCTTAAAGTTTAACACTACAGTACATCTTTAAAAAAAGTATCTTTCTGTTTTTGTGGTTCACTATTAGAAATGTATGGGGTCATGATTTTTAAGTCCGCTCCGTTCTCCAAATAACTGTTAAATTAAATTCTGAGACAAATACAGAATATGAGAATAGAATTTCAGTTAGCTGCCTTGCTTGTTTTTTTTAATTTTTAATTTAACTTCTAAATGTGTTCATTTTATTTTCCTATATATTTTTACAATAATTCTTATTTTTTCGCCTTTGCCAAGAATAATTTGAGTCTAATGTTTATTTTGTTTATTTCCATTTATGTGCTGCTGCTCAAACTAGGATTAAATACTGTACATTACATATAACTGCAATTGAATAGCATACATTCTTATATGAGCAAGCACAAACGGACGTACAGTATACAAAATACTAGTATTTTCTTTTAACGTTTTGTTTCAATTTTTGGTTATTGGCTTTTTAAAGAAAAGCAGAAGTAGAAATGGAAAAAGACAGTTGGTCCAGAAATTATCAAGATCTTTTATCATGATCTACTTGTCATAAATAGCCTGTTGCAAAATTACTCTTTAAAACCTTTGTTTTTCCATTAACACATAGTTTCAGCAATAGCCTCTAAAGTAAAAGCTTTTTTAATAGATTCAATGTTCTGACTACCAACAAAGCACTTTTGATTTTTATTGTCTTTCATACTGATTGATCGCTTTTCATTCTGCTTTTTACTGCAAACCAAGACGTGAATTCACACATACAGTAGGTGATCAAAATATGAATGTAGTCCTTTATTTTTATTTACAAGCAAGGCTTAAATTCATGACACAAATAGTCAATTAAGTTTTTGAAAGAGATGGCCTTTCTGAGGAACTACAGTATGTATGATTTAAGTTGATTGTAAGACACAGAATGTGTCTTCTATTTTTTTTCTTATAAAAGAGGGAAAAACTTTTCTTAATGTATAGAATGTTAGCTTTAAACAATCGTGTGTGTGTTTATATATATTAAAAACAACAAATCAGTATTGAATTCAATAGCTTTTGTTGCAGTATATATATATACAGCTCTCACTTAACCCATACGGTTATTAAAGACTTCTTAGACTCATTAAATAAGTTAAGTCTGTTCTGAAAATATTCTGTGAATATCTCACACTACTAAGCCCATTGAAACAGAAAGCAAACCTTACCAGGATGTACTTAGAATGAAATTGCAATGCAAATCATGACTGCTTACCTTTCAACACTTGATCTATGAAGGCTGTCCTATTTTCAATCTCAGTTTCAGTTGTCTGAGTCTTCATTGCATTTCCCATGTTGGATTAGTAGGTCTTGGCATCAGATGCAAGTGGCCTGTTGCACAGAAGAAATATTTTATGATGTCCAGATTTTGAAAACCGTTTTGATTCTGAAGCATTGGTTCTACAAAAAAATGCCCCCCAGACTGTAGCTGCAGCTGCCCTATTTTTGCAGTAGAATATTACTTTTTTCTTGTCTCATTGAGCATTTTTTCTTCTAATTTCCTACTAGCAGCTCAAGTGTTATCAGGGTAGCATTATACAGAATGGGGAAGTTGAGGAGAGCTGTTGTTGACCAGAATTTTCCATTCCCTGAGTGATCAAAATAGGAAGTACAGAAAGTTAGCATCAGCGGCCGTTTTGACATGCAAATACGTCCAAATAAGACGTGGCAGCACAATTTCAAATTTAGCAAACAATATTTGGTAACAGTATTACTGAGTTACGTATACAGTAGTCTTGCATGTTGTTTAGGTATTCAAAAAATGGGGAAAAAAGCCTAAAAACCAAAACAAAAAATATATTTTTATTTGTGGTCGATATCATTCAACTTTTATATATTTAACATAATTTAAGTTCATCTTTTTTTTAGCGTAAAAGCTGAGTTCAGAGTGATAGATTGCTACTACTGTAGGTGTTGAGTTAACCAAAGAATGGTAATGAGAAAGGCAAATAAAAGAGAAGTTAAGATTTTTATACTTTATATATATTATAAGCTGTATTATTTAGAAGTCTTATTCATTTTCACACCTTTTGCTGTTTTAACATTTTACAGAAATTCTGTCTGATAAGACTCTTATTTAACAGAGAAAACAAACCAATATACTGTATACCCCTTGCGAAAACAGCTGAGGAATTAGACCAAGTGTCTTGATAAATAAATCTTGTGTTCTTTCAAACCTTCAATTCCTGTCGCTCAACCAAGCATCTTTTTTATTCTGCTATTGTAATTGATGTTGTGCAATACAAATGTACTGCACTAGAACCATTCTCAAAAATTGAAGCCTGCACATCATAATTAAACTTTTCATCAAAGCTTTCGTGCCTCTAAGTCACCAGTTCCCATGTTCTGGTTAAGGAATTAATCTACTTGAGTGCATAGTGCATGGCACAGCCTTATTCCCTTTTTACAAGTCTTTCTTTTCATTCACTTGTCCTACATTTTTAGTTTTCCTTAATTGTGTCTTATGAGTAATTTCCTAATTGTGTCTTATGGGTAGTACTGTCCTTTTTTTAGATGCTCTGAGTGACTTTTACAACAACATACTATTGAACTGTTCATTAAGCTTTGAATCACCAGTCCCAGACAGGGAAGTTTCTCCTTCAGAACAGTAAAAATCCCTTTTTCTGCAAAAGGTAAGAGAACAATTCTTGTATTTAAGGGATAATGTCTGTGAAGATGACATAAAAAAACAGAAATTGTATTAAAGGAATATATTCTGCATGCGAAAATGCTAGTGTTACAGTAAGTGTTTTTAATAGTAATTATCATCATTTCGTTGTTAATACATTATCCAATAATGCCAAAGACTGGAGAAATGATGTGGGATTCCCCAGATAAACAATAGTTTATTTGAAGAACTTTCAAATAAAATGTACAGACATCTCAGTTTTAATTGAAATACAGGGAAGAAGGTGTTATACTTAATGTACGCTTAATTTTATTTTATTTGTCTTTTTGTTCAATTAAAATTTGAATTCTTTGCAAGCAATGTACTGTACATTTATTAAAACCCCTTCCAACCTGTGAAAGATCACTAGTGTTTTTTTTGTAAAAACTCTTATAAATATCTACATGGTGTGCATAACCTCTAGTACAATGTATGTTCTAATTTGCTATGGTTATAAAAAGGTGTTAAAAAGCTTCCTGAGCATCACTGCTGAAATGTAACCACACCAAATTTTTTGGTATCAGCACTAGTAGGTTTTTGCATTTTTTAATTTTTATCTTTAAAGGACGTAATGCTGTTCAAATGTTAAAATAAGCCTATTTGTCCTGAACATATTCAAAGCAGTGTTTTAATCAATGTTGAAATGCTCCGGCTTTTTGCAATTGTGTAAAAGAACCCAGGTTTCTTAATACATTGTCAGTACTGTAAGCAAGGAATTTGTGATTGTGAAATTATCTGTACCCATCAATAAAGAGAATTGTACTTAGTTTTTCAAACATTTTATTTTTGCATTATGAATATAGGAATAAAAATTATATTTTCAGTTTGCAACTTTTGCCATTCCTTTGCATATTAAATAATTGTCTAGCAAATGTTTTGTCCATTAAACTAAAAATAAGCAAATGTTTTATTTTGTTAATATTTTTTTAAGATGTTAAACATATATTACTGCATTAATCTTGAACATGCTATTAACAAAGTTGTTAGTAAGTTCATTTACCTATACAGCATTATTAATGTTGCATTTTTCCTAAGACAGTATGAATTATACCAAACAATAGTTTTTACTTAAATAGATTTTCATATGTACTGTACATTTTCTGCAACCAGTTACTGTACTTTGCAGTCATGGTCATGGTTTGTTTTAAAGAACAGAGTTGTACAGTATTTAAGGAAGTGAAATGCTGTCTTTCACAACGATTGGAAGAATTTCCATGTTGTCAGTAAAGGAAATAAAACAGCAGCTAAACATTATCATCATTAATAACATTAACTTTGCACTGGGAAGACATGCAACATGAAAGCTTTTTCTAATGCAGTCACACATTATTAGCAAAACCTGACCCTGAAATGGAATAAAGAAGAATCCTGTACCTTTAGAACGTACTCAGTCATGAATTCTTCCAGTTACATCAGGCCTAGTGAGAAGCAGGCTGATAATAATGTAGCATTTATATATTTTGAATTTCTTTGCATGTAGATACACCATCAGGTTCTGACTGGTGCACCTTCATGGCTAATGAAGTCTAGTGTTCCGGGTCTTGATGTTTTTAAGTTGGCACAGTGAGCTGAGACAGTAAGCCACATGTTTCCTCTGATGAAATGAGGAAGGCTAACTTGCATGTTTTAGAGAATTAGTTCCCTTTTGTGTTAGAGGGGAAAAGGATTGTAAAAAGGGAGTTGATATGTACCTTTACATTCCCCTTGCTATTGATAGATTGATACCAAATTGGAATCAGTTCTTTTAGTAACAGTTCTTAACTCCAGAGAACAACTGCTGGACATTATTAGATTATTATTAGTACAACCAAATCATTATTAAGTTATTTGTTAATTATTATTATCTGGGGGAAAAAACTTTATGCATTGTTTGCACTTGGAATTGTTATCCAGTTTTGCAATTAGCCTTTGAATTCTAAAACAATATAATCCACTTGATGTATGATGTCTATGATATTCCTTTTTAAATTATATCTGAAGTGGTAGTTTAGGTTTGAACAGAAACATGCTTTTCTTTTTTTGCGAAGGTGTTTGCTTTCATGATAACTTTACCTTTAAATAACACAGGGGATGCTAAAAATTTGATCCGAAAAGAAAACGTAACTTTGATTTTTCAGATATTTTGGAACTCCCGTTTGCAGTTCTAAAAATCAAATGCCTTATCCTTACATATAAGACATTTAAAACTGTGAGTTGATGTTTAAAAATTGTGAGCTGATTTAGAATAATGTACTTTAGGTTTAAAAACAGGAGGCATGGTCAATGGGCTGATATTCACAGGAATACGCTAGCTAGTCAGCCATATTATCAAAGACCCATCTTAGAATGCATTGATAAGATTTGGATGGAACTACTAGTAGCAAATAATCTCTCTTTACTGGCCCTTTGTTTGTATTAATTTGTTTGTTTCTGGGGTATTTGTTTGTGTCGACATTGTAGTTTTTAAAACCTAAGTTCAGTTCATTGTCATAATTTTGTTTATTTTACTGCTCAAACCCAATGAGGATATTTTATTTATGAGCACTTTTCATGAATCTCCAAGTGTAATACACGACAGGAGTAAAAAGAAAGGAATAAAAAGTACAGCAAAATGACATTGTGAAGCCAAGAGCAAGATTACACTGTACAAGAAAAGCTTTGATAAATAAATGGATTTTTAAGCTCATTTTGTGAATGCCAATCTCTAAAATGGATCTTAGCAATGAGTTCCACAGGCCTTGTGCTGTAAATAAGGCTGTTGCACGTTGTTTGGAGTGCAAAAGTCTTACTCTTAGGGTATGAAGGCCAATATCAGATGGATTTCAGATTAAGATCTGAAATATACTCATACATTAACTCCTTAACATTATTTGGACGTTTACTGTTTAGTATATGAGCAAGATGACCTTAAACTCCATTCTAATTTCACATTGACAAAATGCAGTTAACCAGGATGGCATTTACTGTATATGCGAACACAGGGTGTTTTTAGTTAAAACAATGGCCACTAAGCTCATTCTGCAAATACTGAAGTCTGTTTAGTACCAAAGTAGATAATCTAAAATCAAAAGTGTTAACGTAGTCTAATTTTGATTAAATTAAGGCATGTATTAATACTGTATTTCAGCACGAGACAGCTGAAGCATAAATGCCCTTATGACATTCTTAACATGATTTACAAATAAAACTTTAGAGTCAAAGGCCTGATTTCAAGACTGTCAGCAAAAACATTGAAGTCAACCACTCTGTGAAGCCAGGAGTCTATGAGTATAACCACAGTCTTGTCGCAGTTGAGCTTGAGAAAGTTCCTTTGCGTCTGTATCTATATCACATAAGTCAATATCAGACAGACACCTGTAATGTGCAGGAACCGCAGCACCAGTATTTGATTTGGTCTGCAAATAAATCTGAGTATCATTTGCATAGCAGTAAAACCCATGTCCATGATGTTGAATAAGACAACCACCCAAGACAAGGCAACATGTCCAACACAGAATCCTGCTGAGCACCTGGGGTTAGTGGTCCACCATCCACTTCAAGATTTATGAATTATTTCAAGCAGGAGACGAAGCAATGAAGGGAAGTCAGAGTGATCCTTAGAAAATTTCACACATGATAACATAAGATACCGCTATTGACATTATTAAAAGATCCACTTAAAATCATAAGGAGGAGGATGTTAAAAAAAAACAGAGTCAGATGACATTAGCATCCTGTTAACTACCATAACAACAGCCATGTCGGTACTATGCTGAAACAACATGTGCTATATTGGGGATTGTAATATACTTACAGGAGCAAATTACAGCTACCGTATAATTTTCCTAATAACCATGATATGGGTTAATATGTAATGGGGAACTTAAAACTGTGCTACACAGCAATAAGAAGTTTTGAAATGTTAATCTGAACATACAGTATGTTCCAGATTAAAATGTGTCCTAACTCTGCGTCCTAGTCTAGTTAACTATTTTTGACCAAAGAATATTGGTAACATGCACACAGGTTCAATTTTGAAATTCGAAGTGTGACACAGAATGGAAATTATTGACTATAAAAACTTTTGTACTTCGTGAACCATTCAGCCTTTTACATTTTGTCACTATTAATTAATGTTAAAAATGTAGGGGTGACAGATTAAATTTCTTGTGGACTTAGCTTTTGTTGCCTAAGCCCTCAGTCAAATTATTTAACTGCGTAATTGAAATTCTTCATGTGATGTTGAGGTGTTATCCTTAACTGCACTTTAAAGGAAGTGATAGTCTGAGTCATCAACTATACACAGCCTTAAGACAAATCCTATATACAGTCAAACTGAGAACATAATTAGGTTTATTGCTCAATTTACTACTCAGGTTGGGGAAAAAAAAAAGAGAATACTAGGAGCTATCCTTCAAACAGGTTGGTAAATAATGTCAGTGCTTTGCAAATGAAATAGTTCACTATTCAATAAAACAAGTGGTTAACTTAGGAAAAAGGGAAGAAAAGGGATGGAAAATGTTAAATACAATATACTAAGGCACTAAGAAAAAATTATAGGTAATTTGTCTGAACGTCAAACAGCCCCTTGGTTGCTGCCATTGCCAACAGATTTCAGTTATATATTTATTGTGGACATTTCATTTATTTTACCCTCTTTTTGGCTCAATTATGATATGCCTATATTTCAGACATTTTTTAACCATTATGGGACAGCTTTCCATTTATTTCTTCTTAAATGGTTCAGGATTTTACTTGCACTTTTGATTTTTGTTAATTTCCATTTTTAATGATGTTATGAACAGTTCTAAAAATATAACCTAATATAAGGGTTAGGAGTGTGTTTTAGACCATGTTCAGGATTAGGATTTTCGTACATCCAATTAATTTGCAGTAGGAAGCTGGTTATCACATTTTCAGCTCCTAATCTTAATTATTACTGATTTTACTGATATTACTGATTTTACTATGTTTCTGATGGGAAGTTTCTTGGTATTGGCACAACGTCTATATATTTTCTACCCTTAACATAGTACTTTTCTCTCTACACCATCCAATTCAAGTGTATGTAAATACAATATAAGTTGTATAATTAGTAACAGTAGAAGTAGTTGTTATTGTATATAGAATGCAATCTATAATTTAATTCTGAATGAAATTACACTTTCCTTGGCATTAAATAAAAACAAACTGAGTAAACAAGTATTGTACTGTTGTGAGCTTGTCAGGAAATATGGGATGCAAATATGTCTCGTAAATGGAACTGCCTACCTGTCTAGACACTAAACTTTTGGTATCTCAAATTAAAAGAGCTTTTATGTTTTGTATTTTTATACTTTGGCAATCTCTAGACTGGTTCAGGCAACTAAGGTACTAACTACATTTCCACTACATTTAGAAGGTTCAAAATAAAGAATTGCAAAAATAAAAAGCAATCGAGTTAATTGGATAATCGGATTAATATCGGAAACATTATTTTAAAAACAGGTCCTTGTGCTTATTTCTTCTTAAAACATGTATTTGCTGATAAATGTTATTCTTTTATTCTGTTGTTGTGTGTACTTTGTTAGCTTGCCAATATTTTATGAGGTTCTAGAATGATAACTGCAGAAAACATACTGAAAATCAAAATCTGATGTACTGTAGTAGAGTTTCAAAGTCCCTAGCCGCTAATCAATAAAGATCAATGATATTTCAGTTTGTGTAAAAGTATTCCTTAATATTACATATCACTGATTTCAATTGAACAAATGCTATGAAAACCATTGTTCAGTTTTGCATCCATTGTAGGGATATTAAAATGTACTGTATATTAAATCCAGTGTCAACACAGAACGCCAAAATATTCCTAAAATAAATTTTATCATCTGATTTTCTTTTCTGATTTACAGACACTTGACTGCTTTGGGGATTTCTTTGATCATGTGAATGAACATTGGTGTTTTGATTTCTTCAAAAGAAAGTAAAAAAAAAAGTAGTTTCACATTTATTCAGCCTGGCTTATTTAAACTAAAAGAAATTCTTGGAAGAACTGAGTGCTATTTTTGTCATGGTATACTTTATTTAGCATACTAGAACGTGCTGCAGAGAAACAACAAGTGCAGTCTGACATCATGTGACCCCCTGCTATGACTACAGACCTGAATATGCTGCTATTATGACAGATAACTTCATACATGCCACACACAAATGACAAGGCATGATATTTTCACAGCGTTACCCTGGGATCAGTCTGCGGCGATGGTCTTTGTTTCTTTTTGCATCAAGTTTGCCAAAATTCAAAATGGAACCTCTGTCTTGCCTGATTACTCCTGAGCAAGCCACTTATGTGTTTTTGACATACAGTACAGTACTGTACAGTATATACATCCATGTCAGGCATAACTTGTTCAGTGTATTTTTCTCAGCTGGGATTCATATAGGCCAGTGATATTACTGCAGTATTAGTATATTTTAAGAATAAAACAGATCTTATTTGCAAGTAAGTTTTAGAACATGCTACGTAGATTGCAAGTGACGCTCATTTTACCTCAGTGATGCATGAAAGGAAGTTGCAATGCAGTGTTCTTTATCTGCTTTTTTTCTTTTGTACCCACGAGATGTACCCTGTGCCTCTGGAGCAAGATATTTTCTCACTCTAACATAATGTATGTGATTGATGTGGTAATGTAATTAGGAAACCTGACTTCCTTAATTGTGTTATGTCACAACCTTCTTCATATTAACAGGAGCTGATAGCACCCTAACTTTCCAACCAGATGTTGACTTTTTGAACGAGATTGAAGAATCAGATAAATACAGAACTTGCTAGTATAACTGTTTCGTGTTTTATTTACTGGGGGTGATACTAGAGATAAAATTACTGATATTGAAAAGTTGCTCTAAAGAAATTTACAGATTTTTTAAAAGTAAACAGATTGATAGAATAACACTGCAGGTTTTCCTTTTTTTTATCTTGTTATTATTTTGTTTAATGATATTTCATGAAGTAGAACATAAAAGTCTGTGCTGCTGGTTTTCCTGCATATAAGAATTCTGTCTGTCCTCCATGTTTAGAGACCCACCTGTAGGTTCTGTTCAGCTTTGGGTGGTCCTCTGCTCACTGACCCAAGACTGTTTTTGACCTTGCTCTTTCTGATGCTGCACCAGTGTTATGAAATAACCTCCCACAAACAAATTTTTTGGCTCTCTTCAAATCCAACTTTGACCTGCATGCTCTAGTGTTTTTGTAACATACTTTTTCATTGTACTTTTTTTGTCTTTTTCTTTATCACTATGGACAACCTCTTTGGGTTTAGAAAGGAACTCTATAAATAAAATAGATTATTATTATCATCATTATCATAACCCCTTCTTACTATCAGAATGAAAGGATTTAAGTCAAGCTCTTTGTAGTTTTAGAACCAAGGGTCAACACAATCATTACGCATCCTAAAAGTTTATCACAGTGCATGACCTCAGTCTGTTTTTTCTTTACAATCCCCTGAAAGAATTCATAGCACCAATCTAGACTTGATCTCACCTGTGCTGCCACCATGTGTGAACCTCAGACTATGTTGCCTATATATCCAGGTAGTAATTTCATTTCACACAAAATAGTTTGAAATTAATTTAGAAAGCTTTTGTTACAGAAATAACCATGCCTTTCTTATGGAAAACCGCCTAGAATAATTATTTCACAGATGTATTTATAGGTGGTATAATTTTAAAAGACAAAAAGCAGGTAATGACACAAAACTGGAAAAGTGTATTATACTGTAAAATGCAGGCTGTGCTAGTCATCAAAATTATTATAATTATTGCATTTGCTATATAAAGCCCCATTAAAGTGTTTCCAGAAGCCAGAGACAATTCTGTATTTTAAACTGAGAATGTGTAGATTATGTAATGACATTATTAAGTGAAAGCTTCAATAGCTTCTGTAGCATTCTGTAGGTTGGGATGAGAAATGAGCAAAAGGGATAATAAAATAAACAAGCAAAAACACCAGTTGTTAATGAACATACAAAACTATTGTACTGAAATATGTACATCTCAGTGATAATATTCCCACTAATATTACTCTCCTTCTCTCTGTTCCCTCTTAAGTGTGAATTGCTGGCTTAAACACATGTTTTGCATCTGGTTTACCACTTATCTGAAAAGCAATACAGTGTAATTTAGTTATATAAATAACTATTACAACAACGAAAAGAATTTCACTCTCCACAGTGTCTGTCATTTCTACATCGCTCAACTAAGATTCTTTGCTATAATAGTATTTCTATAAGTATAGAAGTAGGATGATCCAGGAAAGTAAATTATTCTCTCTCAGATTCAATTTTATTGTTCAGTGCATATTTAAAAGTTCAACCGATTCAAATAATTTTTTATAACTGCTCCTGTAAAACCAAATATTTAAATCATAATATTCTTGTTTATGCAAGTTTCATGTACATGCATATTTCTTGTGTGCTTCGAATTTAAAATTAGAGCAAAGATTGGCCTTGTGATGTAAGCAGTAGGGGGTCTTCACATTGATCAAACTCCTTATTAATATAAGACATAAGTGCCTTCCAGGGATTCAAGACACCCTGACATTACTTGACCCTGAATAAAAGAAGAAAGCATCGCTTCTGGGGATGGTTTGAAGACTGAATGCAGGCTATTAAAGAAAATGTCTCTTTGCAGATTTAGTGTTTAAGAATAGAGTAAGAGTAATTTTAGAAGGAGAAGTACTGTACTTCTCTTATATTTGAATTTATAGTTCAAAACTCTCCCATAGTCAAAAATCAAATAAATGTACACTTACTCGTCAAGGCACTCATGCAATGTACAGTACAGTTTCTGGAACAAATACTGCATATAACTAGTAATTGACAGTTTATTTGTGCCACAACGTGTTAGGTGAATTTCCATGATTATGGCAGACACCTGTTAAATTTGAACGCATGCCGTGTGCTTTTCTTAATCTACATCAACTGAAATGTGATAGTGCTATATATAGAGTATCTAACTTTTTAACATTTGTGTGTGATTTCTGTGGACTGGAGATCAAGAATGAAATCTTTTCCCCTGCTAACTGCAGATACAGATAATGAACTTCCCTTTTCCAGAGGTCATAATTTTCCTTCCTTTTCCTCCTTTATTGCCCCTTGACTCAACACACCGACTTTGAAGGGGCCCTCTGCCCAGCAAATTAAAGCCAAATATGTATCTGTATCTTGAAGTGCCAAACAGTTAAACTCCTCAATAAAAGGCTTAATCTAAAGCCCCTGAACCTGTGCTTCAAAACAAACATTAAAGATCATGGTGTTCTTTAAAAAGAATATTCCGTCTTTGTTTTTTATTAACAGGGTGGCACTGCATTTTCTCCAGCTTCTGTTATCAACAGCTTCAAAGCCAGAGAGAAAACAACATCTCTGGGCACTGAAGTGGGCTGTTCCTCTACTGACCATGACCAGCTCATATCCTGCCTACGAACTGTACCAGCCTTGACCCTCAACGCAGCACAGACTAAAGTAACACATTGCCTCTGGATACTCCAACTTAGTTTTCTACTTCTACACAAATTAGCATAAAAAACACCAATTCAGTAGAGAGCCTAACACACCAAATTAATACAAAGTAATTATGGTAATACCCATTAAAAACCTTTTTTCACATGATGGGCCTAAAATCAGGTGGCATGTCATTGCTTTTAGTTAACCCAACCTGAAAATTACACACAAAATATTCAGATGCATAGGTGTCTAAAATAGTGAAATAGAAAATATTAAAACTGGGCACTATACAGGTAGAACCTTTTGAAGACTATCTGCTGGAAAATATGCTTTTTTCAATTCAAATTCAAGCTGTTATTGAATATTGTTACTGAATTATAAATATAGCAGAACTAAAAGTCATAGTCCTAGATATTTCTTACTAAAAGAGCTCTGATCTTAGGCCCTGACTTTTAAAATAATATTATATCCTTTATGTTTTCTTAGCTGCTTGCTGTCAGTGGCCCTTTCCAGGCTTGGGCCCCAGTGGTGGATGGGATATCTGTCCAGGAACCTCCCTCTACAGCATTTCACAGCTCACGCTTCCACAATGTTGACTTAATGATTGGCTCTTCAGCAGATGACGGGCTCATCGGTAGAGCAAAACGCATTAAGGTGAGAGCAGTATGTAAGCCTGTTATACTCCTTTTACTATCATTGCTGGTGAGTCTTTTACGCCATCTTTGCTACCAGCTTTTTGTGAAGACAGAAAGCTGTGAATCGCTTCCACTTCATCAATGAAATACTGTGCAGGTACTGTAATGCTTCTAAAATACTTCTTTCTCTATTTAAAAATATATGCTCAAAGTGACCTAAAGAATAGTTATTTCATAACCTCTTGTATTTATGACAATTAATATACTGGGTCACCATTTTGTCCTCTGATATTGCAAGACTGTCAAGTTACACAAATTCACTTGTGTCATTAATACGACTCCCATTCCTGCCCTAAACATGCTCTTCTAAACTTTAATGCAGAAATTTGAAGTACTGCAAGGGAGAGCCAGTAGTAAAACTGCCTTCTATGAAGCTTTATCGAATTCCCTGGGTGGAGACGACAGCAACTCGTTTGTGAAAGACGCAGCCACATGGTTTTATTCCTTGTTGCACGACCCCTCTCCTGTGGGCTACAATGTGTTCTCACGAGCGCTGGAGAACGCCACGCGGTAAGAGGCCCAAGCACAAGCCGTTTAGACCACAATGCACCACACTGTCATAATGTGGGAAGATCATATAAATATTTATTTTTCTATGTTTCTTACTGATTTGAGTGGTTGGAACTGTTGCTGGCCTGCGTAAACATTTAGAGTGAAATGAATAATACAGTACATTTGCACTCCCACCACCTCATCAAAGGAAGTTTCCTGGAAACTGTGAGTAAAATAAAGACCCTGTGGTGAGTTAAATAAATTAGAAGTTGGATCACACAGTCATTACAACAACTAAGTGAATGTAAAACAAACTCTTTGTCACGTGTTTCAGATTTGTTTTGCTTGTTTTATGGTTTAAAATTGAGATGTAAAAATTCCGTTTGTCATCGCTTGGAAGGTCCCACTCAATCATTGTGTGTTTAACAGACAGCAAATAATGGATTACATTTATTATTGTGATCCCTGCGATGCCTCGTCATACTGGTAACTGTTCAATAATTTTGCTATCGGTCAAATTCGAATTTCTGTAAACTAATATTCATGAAAACTAAAGAAAGCATCCATTTAAGAGTTAAAGCTTTCACAGTAACCCCGTGTTTTCCTCAAGTGAGACACGGCAGCCAGTTTCGAGAGCTATCAGATTCGTGGTCAGGAGGAAGGAAGCTGGCATCTTGGTTAAGACTGAAATAAATTCTGGGCAGAGCTGAGTGACGTTTTTTGTCATGGTGTTAAAAATACTCTGTATTGTGAATACTAGGACTTGCTGTGCAGAAAAACAAGTACAGTTCCAAAACTGGTTTTGGTTGTTTTTTTTCCATTCAAAGTATAAAAATATTTTTTTCAGAAAATACAGAGGGAAACAGCTTTGGGTCATTTAACACTTTAAATTTTGTCCTACATTTTGCTTACTCTCAGCAAGGTATAGAGTAAGGACCATTGCGTCACAAAAAAGAAACACTGTGATAAATGTGGTGAATGGTGGCAAAAAGATATCATAAAATATTTAGAAGAATCTAAAGTGTGAACCAGAAATGTGTAGAACATCAAACTGAAAGAGCATTGACATACATTCTATCATTAACATCTATCAAATATAAAATAAGAAAATTAATATTAACTGTCCATCCTAGGTACACTTAATAAATGTTGTCAAATGTTGGTAGATGTTTCCTAATCTTAGATACAGAATAGACTGTACTAAAAATCTTATCTTATATTTCTTGTAAAGGCAATATAAGGGGATGTTTAAATAGAGTGGTGTCCTGAATAAATCAAGCAAAATGGTTACAGTACATTCTCAAAGTCACGTTCAAGGTTCACAAGGCTTGTCACGTAAGATTGATTTTTCACTGGTAGCAACATTCATAATGAGCAGCCTGCATAGCTCATCGTTAAAATGAAACATTACAAATGGGAAAGTCCTCCTATCAGCAGTGTCCCTCCTGTGCCTCACTGCAGAGCTTGGAGCACATTCTTTACCAATGGGGTTGTTTGAGTTTATGCACAAAGGCACAATTGGTGGTTTAAAAATTGGATAGGTATGTAATGAAATTTAATTGGTGATTCTAAATTGTTTTAATTGTTATTTTTCATGCATATGTTTGATTGTTATTTCATGAAATGCTCTTATACTAAGTGTAATGCTAATTAAAACTCTGAAAGACAGCATTACAAATGAAGTGTGAACTATTTTAAGCTGCAGTAGATACTCTGAAGAGAGTGAGGTAATAATTGCGATACAACAGATACTGTAATGCCAGCACCATATGTTTGGGATTCGGCCATTAAAAAACAGGATAGTATCAAAACCTCTCACCTTTATGGAGTGGAATGAAATGAAATAGATTCATTGTGTCACTGAAAGTCTGTGCTTAAATAGGAAAACAATAACAGTTTTGGAAGAAAGCTTGTGCTATAAATGTAAAAAAGATATTGATGGCCGCAGTTTTTGCTCTTCCATTTTTGCCAGATGCCTGACAATTCAAATCTCCATAGCACAGAACAGAACAAACACAGAGGGGATAAAAGGTTGAGCCCGTATTCCTTTTTTAAGGAAGGCAAAAGTAAATGAGACAAAGGTTTCAGAAGAGGTGATGATAAACTTAAACAGCAACTGTTTAATTTAATTATTTATACTTTAAACATAAGACTGTAAGAAGGTTATAAATGACTGGCCACTAGACCCATCCAGTCTCTTTGGTTATTAGAATCTTACTGATCCTCTATGAATTGGCTTCATTACACTGCTCTCCTCCCCACTGATACCTGGTGTGAGGTGAGCGTTCTGGCGCACTATGGCTGCCGTCGCATCATCCAGGTGGGGCTGCACATTGGTGGTGGTGGAGGGGAGTCCCCATTACCTGTAAAACGCTTTGAGTGGAGTGTCCAGAAAA